TCTTTTAATGGTTTAAAAACTTTACTTAAAGAAATATATGTATTAGTATATAAATATAAGAATGTCTGAAACAATTGAAGATATAAAACCGGTTCAAACGGAGGAGGAACAAATGAAAGTTAAAATACTTAAAGACCTTATAAAATCCTTACGGAAGCAAGTAGATGAAAAAAAACCTTATAGTAACAAACTTCCAAAAGACCCAGAATATTTTAGAAAATATCAAGCAAAATTATACAAAGAAAAATTAGGCGAAAAAGTTGCCTGTGAATTATGCGGAAGATTACAAACATTAAAACATATGAAAGAACACCAACAAAAACCTATATGTTTGAGGAACAGAGTAGTAAATTCTATTGTCTAAAAAACGGGTTTAAAAAAGTGTATTAAAGAAATAATATAATATATAAATATATATATTATATTATGACATCATTACCTTTGACCTTGGAAGCCGTTAAATCGTCACTTAACAACTTAACATGTAAAGAACAATATGACTTTAAATTACTTTCAAAATTAATTAATTCATCGTTATTACAAACTGACCCATTCAATGGACACGAAAACGAAAAAGAACAGCTTATTAAATACACGAAAGCAAAGGGCATCATTAAATACAAAAAAGCTAATGTATTTGGTCGTGTGTTTTGCTTAGGGGGTGTAGGATTACAAAGCTTAAGGCGTGAAGTGAGACATACAATTTCAAACCAGTTTTATTATGATATTGATATTAAAAATGCACATCCAGAAATATTGTTACAGATATTAAAACAAAATAATTATCCTAACTTATGTTATTTGAAAAAGTATGTAAAAGATAGAGATTATTATTTAAATGAAGTTATGAATATATACAATGTTAATAAAGATGATGCAAAAACCCTTTTCATAAGTCTATTATATGGAGGAGGTTTTGAAAGCTGGGCTGACAAACATAATATTGATATAAGCAAAAGAAACGATTTTATACAACATTTACACGACGAAATGAAAGCTATACAATGTTTAATCGGAAACAGTAATCCTAAAATTAAAAAAGCTGTTGGTGAAAAACCTAACATTAACGCCACGATTACAAGTTATTATTTACAAGAGATTGAAAACAGAATTTTGGAAGAAGTATTTAAATATTGTAATGACAACAACTATATAAAGCAAAATCATTGTGTTTTGTGTTTTGATGGTATTATGCTATTGAAACAAAGCTTTAAAAAAGAGGTATTACAAGAGTTAAATACATTGATTAAACAACAGTTTAACCTAAATTTACAATTTGTAGTGAAAGAAATGAACGAAGGTTATACTGATGAACAGATAGAAAAAGCACAAGTAAATAAATTAAGAAGTTACGAGGAAGTAAAAGAAGAGTTTGAAAAAGATAACTTTAAAATCAGAGAACCTTTGACATATGTTGAAATCAGAAAATTAGACGATGTTGTAATTAGAAGAGATGAAGCAGAGTTTAAAAAAGTAAACCGAAACAAGAAATATGAAGAAATTGACGAAAAAACTGGCGAGATAGTAAAAAAGGCTTTTATTGATAAATGGATGGATGACGAAGATATATTAACTTTTGAAAAAATGGATTTCTTACCTTGTGAAGAAGCACCTGACCATACATTTAATACATTTACGGGCTTTGAAGCAGAAAAGAAAGATTTAATAAAAACCGATATCACTAAGTCTAGAATGTGGTTTCATATTAAAGATGTTATATGTGGTAGCAATGAAGATAGTTTTAATTATCTTATGAAATGGTTTGCTAAACTGTTCCAATCACCACTACAAAAAGCGGGAACAGCATTAATATTAAAATCAGGACAAGGAGCGGGAAAAGATACGTTAGTTGATTTTTTAGGTAGTTTGTTAAATTACAAAGATTACTATTTTAATACAGAAAATACGGATTTGATTTTTGGACAATTTAATAAAGATATTGAGCAAAAGATATTAGTTGTAATTAATGAAACTAGCGGTAAGGATACATTTACAATTAATGAATATATTAAAAATGCCATTACACGGCAGACAGTTCCAATAAACGAGAAGAAAAAGACACCTTATACAGTCAGAGATTGTAGTGCATTTGCTTTTTTAACAAATAATAACAATCCAGTAAAAATATCACCAGATGATAGACGCTTTTTTTGTATAGAAGCTAGCGATAAATATACTAAGGATGCTAATTATTTTATCCAACTACATAAGGAAATTAAAAGCGGAGAATATGACAGAGCATTCTTTGAATATTTCAGACAGTTAGATATTAAAGATTACGATTATATTAACAACAGACCCACTAGCGATATGTATGAGGATATGAGAGAGTTGAATATTCCAGTAGTCGCTAAGTTCTTGGAGGATTTAATTGATACAACATTAAACACAGTTCCAGTAAATCCGTATCAGATTAAGGCGAGTGTATTGTTTGATAGATTTACAACATATTTAACAAACAACAACTATAAAAACATGAACTATAAACCTGAGAAGTTTGGGATTGAATTGAAAAAGTTTAAAGGCTTTTCCAGGGAAAAAAAATCAGATGGAGCTTACTATAACTTAGATAAGGACGAGCTAAAACAATGCCTATCAGATAACTATAAAATAGAGTTTGTAAATGATTGAGATGATTTAAATGACAATTAAACAGACCAAAATACCACCATAATATATTATTATATTATGATTGTATTATATACAGACATTATATACATACGTAAATATAGACCGTCATAATACAACTTATTTACCTTATCTATATAACAACATTTATATATAACTTGGTATATAACCCAGCATATAACCTATCATATCATAACAACTAACTAAATACATATATATTATTATTATATTATTATTATATATATTATACTTATTTAAAAAATATAATAAAACAGTTAACTATATTACAGGTATGACAGTATGCTGGTCAAAAACCAAGTTAAATTAAAAAAAAATTTTAAAAAATATTTTTTGAAAAATATTTTTTGTACTATATATCTAAGTTATGGTCTAGAATGGCTAACCTAGCATATCATAACAGTTAGATAGATACATATATATTATTATTATATTATTATTATATATATTATACTTATTTAAAAAATATAATAAAACAGTTAACTATATTACAGGTATGACAGTATGCTGGTCAAAAACCAAGTTAAATTAAAAAAAAATTTTAAAAAATATTTTTTGAAAAATATTTTTTGTACTATATATCTAAGTTATGGTCTAGAATGGCTAACCTAGCATATCATAACAGTTAGATAGATACGACTATATATATTATGACACCAGCCGTCATTTCAACCTTATTTAAATACATTAATACATAAATTATTACATAGATTATTACATAAATTATTACAAGAATTATTACATAAATTATTGAATAAATTATTACATAAATTATTACAAGAATTATTACATAAATTATTGAATAAATTATTACATAAATTATTACATAAATTATTACATAAATTATTACATAAATTATTACATAAATGTATAATGCAGAGCCCCCCGAACGCTTTTGTATCAGTTTCAATATATTGTTTATTAAAAATATTTTATGTAATTTTATTACATAAATTATTATTATAAATAAATTATGACATAAATTATTAAATAAATTATTAAATAAACTTGTTAGGCGGGGTATAGCCCGAACGCTTTGTAAATAATTTATGTAAATTATTGAATAAAATTTTACAAAAAATGTTACATAAATTATTAAATAAACTTGTGATGCGGAGCCCGGCCCGAACGCTTTTGTAAAATTTATTAAATAAATTATTAAATAAATTATTAAATAAACTTGTGATGCGGAGCCCGGCCCGAACGCTTTTGTAAAATTTATTAAATAAATTATTAAATAAATTATTAAATAAATTATTAAATAAATTATTAAATAAACTTGTGATGCGGAACCCGGCCCGAACGCTTTGTAAATAATTTATGTAATTTATTAAATAAATTATTATAAAACTTATTGAATAAAATTTTACAAAAAATGTTACATAAATTATTAAATAAACTTGTGATGCGGAGCCCGGCCCGAACGCTTTTGTAAAATTTATTAAATAAATTATTAAATAAATTATTAAATAAACTTGTGATGCGGAGCCCGGCCCGAACGCTTTTGTAAAATTTATTAAATAAATTATTAAATAAATTATTAAATAAATTATTAAATAAATTATTAAATAAACTTGTGATGCGGAACCCGGCCCGAACGCTTTGTAAATAATTTATGTAATTTATTAAATAAATTATTATAAAACTTATTGAATAAAATTTTACAAAAAATGTTACATAAATTATTAAATAAACTTGTGATGCGGAGCCCGGCCCGAACGCTTTTGTAAAATTTATTAAATAAATTATTAAATAAATTATTAAATAAACTTGTGATGCGGAACCCGGCCCGAACGCTTTTGTAAAATTTATTAAATAAATTAAAATAAATTATTGTAAAAAATATTAAATACAAGTTTACAAAAAATGTTACATAAATTATTAAATAAACTTGTGATGCGGAACCCGGCCCGAACGCTTTGTAAATAATTTATGTAATTTATTAAATAAATTATTATAAAACTTATTGAATAAAATTTTACAAAAAATGTTACATAAATTATTAAATAAACTTGTGATGCGGAGCCCGGCCCGAACGCTTTTGTAAAATTTATTAAATAAATTATTAAATAAATTATTGTAAAAAATATTAAATACAAGTTTACAAAAAATGTTACATAAATTATTAAATAAACGTGCAAAGCGGAGCAGGGCGAGAGAAAAAATGAAGAAGAAGGCCAGAAAGAAAATGAAGAAGGCGACGAACTCTTTTTACTAATTTTAAAAATATATAGGTATGGAAACAGTTGCAGGGGGACTTTTTGGGTTGGGTTTAGGATAAGGTTGACAGGGTACGTAGACCCCTTGGAATCTCCACACCATTTCGATTCGTAAGGAGACCCAAAGTCGCTCAGGTCTGAGCGAGCTTACGTCTGGGATATGACGCAGACCGGCGCTCAGCCGAAGGGAGCTCTGTATCGGGAACATGTAGAGTTGTGGGAGTTGTGGGCTGTGGCGTCTCCGGATGCTCTCAATGTACAAATGCGTTCAAGCCCAAAGTGCTTGAGATTGGGTTGTCGCTGCTCCTTCCCTAGCTTCCGTACATCTAGCTTAAGGCCCGTAGATCCCGGACACCGGAACCCAGAATCTGAGCCTCTACTGTTGGCAGTGAAGGTTCTTTAACTTTGGTGTGTCATGTTATCTGTAAATCTGTATTTGTACAGACACGGGTGACATGGGCAGATAGTGATCGTGCGGACAAACCGCCTAAATGCTGAAGAGTCAGATTGCGAAGCACGGGAAACTGTGACCAGGAAGTGTGTAGGTAGGTAGCTAGCTAACTAGCTTGGCAGCTCGGTAGCCAGATAGCTCGGTAGCTAGGTACCCGGGCAGGTGGGTAGGTAGGTACGGAGGCAGTGGTGTATGTATATGTGTATGCATGGGTACATTTATGGCATTTGTACTCGCAACTTTAAATCCGGCGGCAATAGTTAGAGTTGTCGACTGTAGCGGAGGCAATATCTTCAGCCGTGCGCGCACCTCGACGGCCGCATCGCAGTCGGTACCCGAGCTTCTCTCAAACCGTTTAAGTCCATCAACAATTGACGGCATAGCGTTCACAGGCTGTAGGGTGTCCGTACTATAGCGTAGCTCGGGTGTTTCTGGGTTCTGGCAAGTTGTGCAGATCAAGCATTTGATCTCGATCATGATTGTACACTGTCTACTAGCTAGCATTGAAATGCATTGGCCTTGAGGGCTCCCTTCGCGTTTAGGGTGGTTCTGTCGGGTTCCGAGCTCGCGGTTTGAGGTGTATCAAGCTGGGGCTTGTTGGGGCTTCCCATCCCAGCCTGGTATTCCGGTTCGTGACCGGCTTGCCGGAAAGAAGCCCTGGAGCTGCTTTGCCTCCCCAACTGTGTGCGGGGATGGATCCAGCAGCAGCTTGTTTGCTTTGGGTTTCAGGCTGTTGTTGTTGGAGTGACCTCGACCAAAGACTCTTATGTGCCTCTCCCTCGTGCGCTGACACGAAGCTGGACTCCAAGCATTCGAGAGGTCATTGCTTTTCCGAACGTTGTGTTCGCAAGCTGGGGCAGGCGTAGACGTTGCAAGCCAGGTGTACTGCTGCAACTGGCTCGAGCCAAGGCTCATCAAGGAGCAAGGGTTGCTGACTTCGATGTCTCTCACAGAACATGTACGCCTTGCAGCCCAGATGGCTGGGTCGATGGATTTCGCCTGGACTCATGTGAGCTTGGGCGATGTTGTATCCCAGCTGTCTGGGGAGAAAAAGAAGAAGCAGACACACGCCGATCTTCAGCGCCTTACGGTTCAAAAGAATGTACTTGAATTGGAGCTGGAGGCGGAGAAAGAGAAGCGGGCTTCCTCTGAAGCAAGTCACAACGTTACGAAGCAACTGTTGAAAGACGTCGTGCCTTGGCTTTTCCAGTTTATATCATATACTTCAGTGATAGATTCCGCTGCCAGTTCGTGATTGGGACTCATAGTGCGAAGTTAAGTAGGGCCCCGTCATCTCAGCTTGTATTGTCGTAAACGCAGCCAAGGAAACCAGGCTTCAAACCGCTTTGTCTACACTCGAGAGAGAGCGGAAACAGAAAGAGAATGCCGAGCAAAAGCTTCTCGACATTCAAGAGCAGAAGCTCGCCAATAGTCATGGTGCATCGTGGCAATATGAGATGGGGAATCAGTGGCACCCATTTCCGCCTGAAGGAAACGACCAGATGCTTCAGGCTTACCTGGCATATCTCGACGACACGTCGGGAAATCGTTGGGCGAGCATTGTTGCAGGCGGAGTTGAGCGCACGGTCGACTTTTATGTGATGACCCAAACACATACAACTACTCAGAAGGTACGGAGAATTCGCCTCACCACAGGAGTGCCTGCACAGTGGGAAAGTTCCCCCGCGGCGTTGTTGATGCAGAGAGACGATGCCAGCACCTTCTACGTCGAGGTAAAAGATACACCTATGCTTGAAATCATTAGCCGCTTGCTTCGGTCTACAGGTCACGCATGGGATTCATCGACAGGATGCTCCCTCATGAAGAATGCCACTGTGAAGTCTGTGCACCGGATCGAAAACTACCAACTCTGGCAGCGGTACCAAGCGAGGCTGCGTGCCATGAGGGAAGACCGCGCCAAGTACAACTTGCATTCAGAGCCTGCATCTCTTGATCTTGATGGTCGTGAGGGCGTGATGACTGAGAGCCAGAGCTACCTAGACTGCGGAGAGCCCTTGTCACACGACGTGGATGAGAAGATACTGCTGCATGGCACATCATGGTACAACGCCAATTCCATCGTGGAGAACGGTTTTGACCACCGGACCTGTACACGAGGGATGTACGGAGATGGCGTCTACTTTGCAGGAGCTGCTTGCAAGAGCCATCAGTACTCCTGCACATATAAGTGTGGATTTGGCCACACTCCTGCCTGCCGATGCGAGAGGACATTGATCATCGCGCGTGTTGCTCTCGGAGATGCTTACTATGCATCCGAAACCCGGTATGGAGCAAGGATGGCTCCATCAAGAAGTGGTGCAGCAGGTACACATGGTTCGGTTGTGGTCAAGCCTGGGCAAATAGCAGGGCATCACAACCCCATCCAAGTTCATCAAGAGTTTGTGGTTTTCGATCGTGAACAAGCATATCCCGCCTTTGTCGTGCAGTACTGGCCTTGATACGTTGCAAGCAAGCTCGCGGCACAGCATCCAAAAGAGGTGAGTGGTCGTACTCTCAGGTGCAGCCTTTGGACCGGCCAGCTTCGCTTCCTTTCGTCCACCTTCTTAATTGAGTATGTATATTGGATGTGGGACAGGCACTTTCTGCATGGTTGTGCACATATAGGCAACAACATCGTCAAATCCTGGATGCGGCTCCTATAGCTTAGATTTTACTCCTACCTTTTGCCAGAAGCGCTTGATCACCTTTATCTTCCGAGTTTACGGTTGGAAGCAGTCCCCTTATCGTATTTTCTGAGCTGGTGTGGTACCTTTTGCACATCAAGAGCCCGCAGACCGCGAAATCAAGCAAGCCGTCATCCAAAGTGCCTCTTGACAGGCCTCGGAGATTCACCAGCACAAGCAACCAGATACCTTAAACTCCCGACACTAGAGTTCGCTAAGCCCCAGAAGAAAGTCACAGTCCATTGAAACTGATATTGGATCCAAACCTGAACCCTCCAACTCATGTTAAAAAATGGGCGCTAAGAGGCCAAACCCGCTCGAAGGAAGTTTGCTCCTCCCTCTCATCAGCGCTCCGGCGTGAGCGGGGCACCGTCAAGGAGGCATGCTCATCCTTTGTTGACAAGGAGTGAGGCTGAAAGTTCAAAGGACAACTTGGTGTGTGTGTGTGTGTTCACGGGTTTCGCGTTCACAGTTCTCCCTCGAGTTGGCTGGAAGTTGTTCAATCGGGACAAGATCTTGCCTCACAAGTAGTTGCACGTTTGATTTTGAAAGTTTGCGGTTTCGTTCGTTCGTTATTGAGACATTCACGGATCTCCGGTCCCGCTGCAGGTTCCCTCGCGGCACGCCTCGCCACAAAAGCAAACGAGCTCCAACCCCTGCCGGGCACTTAGTCCCTGAGCCCTAAGCTGCACGAGCATGTGAGCACCTTAACCCCCAAACCCTGAAACCTGAAGTCCATCCTTGGTGTTCTTCTTCTTCGTGTTGTTGGGAAGGCCCGCGAGGAGACGTGGCACCAAACTTGAAGCCTATACGCTGTTTCGTGTACGTGTGTACGTGTGTGTGTGTGTTTGTTTGTGTGTGTGTGTACCGTGGCGTTGCTACTTGCCTCGAAACTCCGGCAGAGTGCGAGCCCATCGTCGTTCCCCGCTCGACTTATGAATTATGAACATACAGGTTCTTCCGAGGCCGGGTAGGCGTTGGCTATGGCAGGGCAGGGCTCTGAGATGTTCACAATGTCAATTAGTTTTTGCGAGCCATGGGCTGCGTCGCACAGACCCTGTGCCCGAAACAGTGAAACAGTGATATATGTTTTTGTTTATTTAGACTTTTTGTGTGTGTGTGTGTGTGTGTGCGTGTGCGTCCACCGTGCACGTGGGTCCCCGTGAGCTGATGCATTATTGGGCTAGGCTGGGTCTGACCGTCTAGAACTCAAGTCTGTCTGTTGAGACGTGGGATGGGATCGCACGGATCATGCTGGGCGAGGCATAGCCCGCGACCCAAGGCTTCCGGAGCTCCAAACCCAACCTGAAACCCCAAATCGTCCCTCAAACTATCACCACCTGCATATATGCCCCGGTGTTGCGGAAGTTCACAACCCTAAACCCTTAACGCCTGAAACTCAAGCAAAAGCCGTTCAAAGCCATGGAATAGGGAAACTTAGAGCATAGCACATATTAGCCCCAGCAAGATATTGAACCTGAGGCCTAGATGTCCTGTTTGGGCCCCATGATCGCACCAAATCTCCAAGACGGGGGTTTAGGGCCTCGATGGCCCAGGGTGCAGGGTTTCGGGCCTTGTACCGGTCCCACTCTTAGGGGTTGGCTGAATGTGCAGCGTAGTAGGAGCTTCCGTCCCCTGGTGCTTCCTCTAGCAGTCTTGGCTCTAGGCAGATGCCGTAATGGGACTTGGCATCTCCAATCTAACTCGATCGCAAGGCCCCGCAGCTCCAGTGAAGGGGCCGGCAGCAGCCGTAGACGAGGCAAGCTGTTCCACGCAAAGTCTTCCGAATAAAGATGGAGAAGTTGGATAACAATTTCAAGCCGTGCTTCTAAACAAAACCTGCATTGTGCAGCTGCTGTGACCACCCTAGACGCCATGATTCAGCTCCAAACCTTACCAACCTTGGCTGCAGGAGTAAGCGTAGATTTGCCCGGTTTTGAGGGGCGGGGAGTTGAGGAAATGAACAGTTACTGGCACAATGGTACCGTTTCTGAGCTTCCTTACTATAGATCTTTTTATAGTATAACAATGTCTGGAGATTTTAGTTACTAAGGCCCCTAAAGCTCAGCCTTTCAATCCTCAGACCTAAACTCCCTTGGCCCGGCGGGCCGACTTCCTACACCCTTCGCCCTACCGATACTTAGTAGCTAAGTGGATACACTTTAACTACAATATTTCGGATAATACTACCCACTAAAAAACTAACAGTGTAGACTTTTCGGGGGCTTATGAACTCAGCAACTAAGGATACCCTGAAACCAAAGCTAGCTTGGGGTTCCCAGGCCCCGGCTCGGAGCTTGAAGTTGCATTCTTGGAGCCTATGTGGGGGCCTCATAATACATGGATGGGTTTTGGTAAGGAATAGTGTTTGTAACGGTAATATATCAGGTAGGGTTTGCAGAAGGGGCCTTTGGACGCTTGCATAGGGCTTTAAGGAAGCTTCCGGTTATCAGCAACTCTTCGACGCATGACGCTGGTGTTGCTTCTGCCTTCTCTGAACCGCAGTGTAGTGGGTTCTTTCGGGTCTTTATGTAGACGGCTCCTCTTAAATCTTAAAGGGATACAAAATGAGCTTGCCATTAGATCATTAGGGGTTCTATGATATGGGGGCCTGAAGCTCAAAAGGAACCTCGCCGGTTGGTTCTTATCACGCTCTCGACGGGCGTTCCGAGTTGCCAATACCTTCAAATCAAGGCCCCTAAAGTACGAAATACTACTCTCTACTACAATACACATTACGAGGCTGGTAATTTATGGAATTCTACCAAATTACACAATGATCTGCTGCATTACAACCAACCCTAAATCCCCTAAGTCAAAGAGGTCCTTAGTCGGGGCCCTGCTTTCCGGGAGGTCCTGGTCAGCTTTCGGGCTACTGCCGAGGCCATGAAGCTGAACGGCCCAAGGCTCAGATACCACACGTCTATTTTGTGATGAGGATTATTCTGACACTTTTCACTAGAGTTTTTTATTACTATGACGGTTCTTCTGCTTCTTATGATTCTTACGGTTATCATTCTTGCTGCTAGTATGGGTGCTGGCACTGATGGTTGTGGGTCATGTCTACCATGGTTATCACTACCAGTTGCTGTTGTTCTCACCATTATCACCACTGTTACAACTGTGTCTATTGCTATTATTTCAATCTGGCCGCGAGTTAAACTCGGATACATTTGTGGCTCCCAGACCCAAACAACACCTTGCTGATACAATACGCACAGAAGGGGCTCCAATTCAGTGACTCGCGAAACCACATTTGCCAACGAGGCCCCAAAGAGAATCGACCTTCCCGAAGAGGTGTTTAGTGCTGGTTGCACTTCTAGGTTGAAAGTAGACTTCCGGATGAGGGAATCCAGACTTTCGAGCAGTCCATCTTGGTTGTCTCGTTTTCGGGATTTTGGGCTCTGGGAGAATGGACTTGACGGCTATTCCCCACACCTGAGTCGATCCTGCGCCAAGGCATCTACAGACGTCGGACGGACATCCAGGCCAAACCTCACAACCCCAAGACAGGGAGGCTTGCCTTTAAGTTGCCCGTTAGTTTCCCTGTATTATCCCCGTTGGAGTATCCCGCGTGGTATCCCTTCAAGTAGCCCTTATGGAGAGAGAGAAAATCTCCCATAGTCAATCGTTGCTTACGCTTCTGATGTTGGGGGAGATGTGTTCCACCTGCTGCTATGACTCTTGCTGTCAAAGAACCTGAATAAAGTCCGCCAGCATCTCTTCGGTCATCTCCTTTCTTCTACAAGAGTCAAACCCTAAAGTCCTGAACGTTTGAACAAGGTTGCGGTACAATGAGCACCTCCGAGACTCAGCCATCAACGACAGGTCTACAAGCTTGAGCAGACCTGTGATTGAAGTGATTAATAGGCGTCTGCGATCCTTGCGCACCCACTAAAGGCCCCTGTGCGTGCGAAGGTTTAGGTTTCCGCTGGCAGTAATGACAAAAACGTACGCAGGCCAACGGAAGGCCGGTTTACTGCAACGGTCCGCGCCTGAACTGCCGAAAGGGATTTTGCAGGGGCTTTACTGATTTGAATAGGGTTGTGGGGTATACTACTACACTATAACTACACTGAGGACGCCTAAGGCCCCAAGGAATAATGGCATTGGAAGCACTGCAGGCTTCTACAGTGCTTCATTGCACGGAAGCCTCGACGCTATGAGACCAAAAGGAACCATGACGTTGGGCAACCTACCACTAGCATAGTGTCGTCGTCGTGGTGGAGGTGGTGGCGATTGTCGTCACTGCTGCTAGGACAGCAACAGTACTGGCATGAACGATGTGATCATTCAGCGCATACTCAGCAAAGCTCGCCTGACGCGTGGTAGAGACCAACAGACCCGGAATCCGAAGCCCTGCGTTGATTCCCTGTAACCTCGGCAAGCCCGATTCTGCAAAAAAACACGTCCCAGCAATCTAATGGGTCGTATACCAAAAGAAGTATGGTGTTGGAGTGAACTGGCTAGACCCCAGCTAGACCCCACGCAGAACCAGGGCACCTTGACCAGTTAGGTCACGACTTTGGGGCTCGTAGGGTTTGAAGTCCTGACTGCGCCCGAACCGCGCCAACCCAGGCAACAGGCACATCCTTTTTATGTCGGATGGCGCATGGGCTCGGAGCACAGGTCCTTTACCATCTCGCGGGTGCATGGGATTGCTGTAGGGGTTGAGAAATTCTCGGACCCCAACGCAAAAGAAAAGATCCTGCAAGTGCATCTTACGTTCCAGGATGTGCATGGATGACAGGCGTTTCCGACAGAGAAGCATGCTGCAAGCATCATGCACATTGAGCATTCGATACACATCAGAGGCTACGCAGGACCGGGCAAGCCAAAACCCACGGATCAGAAAGTACCCGGGAAGCCTACATTCCTAAAGCTCCCGAAGCCATAAGCCCCAAACCCTGCAATCCTGAAGCCCTCAGCTCTAGCCACCCCACCCCCAGACAGCCCCAAACCCTCAAAGGTAGAACATTCCAACACTCCAAACCCGCCCAAACAAATCCAAACCCCGAGAGCCGCGAGACCATAAAATCCAAGACATACTAAAGCCACATGCACAACCTCCGATCCCAAGCTTGCAATCTGGGGGCCTTGGCGCTTAGAGCAGTATCTGTTTTTTGTCCTTGAGGGGGGGCTGACCGTGATCGTACTTATGAAGTATATAAAACAAAGAGACTCAGGAACCCTATCGAGAAATATGAGTATGTCATATGACGGAGAAAGCCTGAGGTCATCAAGGAAGGTCCCAGCTCTGAAGAGGGGGCCTATGTCCGCTGCTCGAATGGTCGTTGGGGTGTGTTTAGGGTTCGAGTTCAAGGAGTTTAGGGCTTGGGGTTTAGGAGTTAGGGTTCATGGCTTAGGATTTTGGGTTGTGGGTTTCGGGGTCAGGAGCTGCTTTTAGGGTGTGACCTCTGACCGCTTCGGTGGCCAACCAGACCCAACCCAGCCCTAGTAGTACCAGCATGACCCACCCCAAAATTCACATTGAGTTCTAAGCGATAAACGTCAAAGATTCTTGGCACCAACACCTCTTCCAAGTTCTACAGGTGCTTGTCGCACAGCTCATTTTGCGAGTCCTTGCCAGCATCCGAATTCCGAGGTCTACGCCTATGTCGAGGACAGCGGTGCAGCATTTTTCTGGCTTTAAACAGGGTCTGGGTTTCTGGATCTTCACGTTAAATTAACGTGCTTGCTCGGCAGTGAGTGGTCAAGCTAGGCATGTACCAGCGTGGGTAGATTCTTCCCTCGTTCGCTCTCGTCAGGGTCAAGCTACGTCCTTCAGAACCCTAAATACAGCTCTAAACCCGAAAAGCGGACTCAACGCTGCCTGTCGCCACCTGACAGGACCCCCTTGCCAGCGAGCCGTTCGGTGTCCGCCGATCATGGCAGGCCTAGCGAAACGAGGGTACGGTTTAGTGTTTATGTTCGGGTCCCTCACAGCTCATCTTTCTGACGGTTGTTGCTGTTCAGGAGTCTTAAAGATGGAGCCCGCAACTTTCAAGTTTGGGCTGTACCCCTAAGGGCCTGCAGTTCGGGTTGCATTGCGGAGATTTGAGCTTGGGGCTGACTGACGCGTTTAGGGTCGAAGGGTTTGGGGTTGAAGATGGCCCAGGGGCATGGAGTTGGATCCCCCAACCCTACAAAGGCCCTTCAACCCAAAGCAACCATGCAGCTCTTTAAGCCCCGAGCCCTAAATGAAGCCGCACAGACCCCTACCAAAGATAAAGGAATCTACTGAACATTAAAAGCCCTTTAGCCCAGAGACCCATGCCAGGTCATGGACGATCGTGATGGCTTCGTGGAAGAGCGCGAAGGGATGGTGAGGCTGCTCCGTGAGTTTCAGGCTTGCGCTCGGCTGTAGAACGCTCTAGGTGAGATCGAGTTCTGCACCGTGATGTTTCGGGCTGGTGCCAAAAACTTCTAGCATCAAAGGCAAGGCGATCTGTTCAACCGACAGAACTGAACCCGTTTCGAATTTTGAGTGACGAGGGCGGCTGAGAGTCAAGGGCAACAAGAACAGGGAGCACCGTCAAAGAGACCCTTAAGCAGATCAACATGTACTTAAAGGTTCAGGTCACCTGAGAACAACGAAGGGCAGGCCGTTGTAGTTCAGAAAACCTCTATATACCCGAGCGATGCCTTTGTCCCATGTGAAAGCGAGCTTTCAGCATGCAAGGCAAGTGTCGAACGTGCCTGGTATAGGCCACCTACAGTATGTATTATGGAATCCTGAATAATCTAATAACCTTGAAGGATGTTTCTTATAAGTCTGCAATAATTAATCATATACCGCCCCAAACCCTGTTCGAATCGTGTTGAAGCCCCTATATCAGAATCTGGAACTTCGTCTTGTCTTGGTCCTACACGGGCGCAAACTTGCTTCAGAGGCCCCCCCCCCTTTCTGTCCTAAGCCTTTGAGCAAAAACTCGAACTTCGAAAGCGATCCGCCATGCCGATAGATTTTTCCCTGCTCCTTTCGGCTTCCGCAGGCGAAACCTCCGCTGAGATGGACTTAGCACCAGACAGGAGTAACTGCTGGACAGTCATTTTCCCTGATTTGAAATTTGGGGCTTGCAAGGAGGGCAGGTAGGACAATTGAAGCGTTCCACGGTTTACGAGTCTTAAACATCTGAGTGCAGTTGTCTGTGTTTATTGATCAGCACTTTCCCGGGTGTTTTCCTCTTGTGCTTACTCTTACTCTCACTCTCACTCTTTCTCTTACCCTTACTCGCACCCCTACTCCCACTCCTACTCTTGCGCTTACTCCTACTCTTACGCTTACTCCTACTCTTACTCTTACTCCTACTCGTACTCCTACTCCTACACTTACTCCTACTCTTTTTCTTACTCTTGCGCTTGCACATGCGCTTGCGCTTGCTCGTACTCGTAGTCGTACTCTTACTCACACTCTTTACTCTTACTCTTGCTCTTGCTCTTGCTCTTGCTCTTACTCTTACTCTTACTCTTACTCTTACTCCTACTCCTACTCCTACTCCTACTCCTACTCCTACTCCTACTCCTACTCCTACTCCTACTCCTACTCCTACTCCTACTCCTCCTCTTCCTCCTACTTCTACTCGTAGTCATACTCTTCCTCGTCCTCTTACTCTTCATCGTCCTCTTACACCTCCTCGTCCTCTTACTCCCCAATCCGAAAACACCTCGACATAAACTTTCAACTATCAGCTCTGTAGGATGCTGACATCGCTATACTCCTCAGCCGCGTGAAAGTTGCGAAGGCGCCTTCGCACAGTTTCACTGATACCTGCATGTCCAGATCTTCCAAGATACCCTATGGAAGGAGATTCCAAAACGATTCATTACGGTTATAATCTAAACCCCCACTCAAAATAATGACCCTATGGAAGGAGACATTGTACACTCTGAGAAGTTGGAGAAGTGAATTAAGAGCTTTTGGATCTACTTCCCCAAACAAGAGCTGCTCTGTGAGCTCTCGTAGAACTTTCGCAAGTTGGATCCCTAAACACTGAACCTTAAACCCTGAACCATCCCTTCCATGACGGTGTGTTGAAAGATCTTGGTTGCGATGGTCTCGGAAGAAACGGCTGTCATTTCTCAGGGTTTAATCCGTCTTGGACCTAAGGTGTACCTGAACCCTGGGAAACCCTGGTTGTTGGAGGTTCCTAATCATGAGTTCTTCGTGTATCTCCTCTAAAAAGGTAGGTTTAGGAGGAGGTGCAGGGGTGCAAGCTTTGCATGTTCAATTCTGACAAAAGAGCCTTGCGGCACAGGCAGGAGCCCCGAGCCCTACACCAACAGCCCACACCCCTAAATACCCGGCCCATTAGGTATCTTTGCTTTTCGGGTGTCCAAAGTCATGCTGGGCGTCTGCTTGAACATGTTACTGACTTTGGGATGTCTGAAATCATGGGCACGTCCGATGAAACAGATCGTCGAGTTGTTGCTTGCTGAGGAGAAGAGTAGGCTCAATGAGGCCGTATCGAGGTTTACACAAACCACGCCCTAATGCAGATCCCGGCCATTACCGCAACATCTCTAAGCGGCCTGTCCGGAATCTGTACAGTACTTGCAGATGTCCAGCCGGGTGTTCAGCCGAGGCCTAGATGTGCCCTAAACGCTAGCCCTTGCAAAGCCTTAAACCCTAAACCGTAGGGCGCGCCGTTTGGCCTGCCAGCATCGTCACAAAGGGAATGGTGCACCATGTCAGACGCAAGCCCATCTTCCTTGACCTCGTAACCCTGAATCCCCACGTGACTAGACTTGAAACCCGAACTGCGAATCCAAATTTTACCAAAGTGTCGGGACTTCTAGATTCGTCGGTTTGAAGCTCTTACGGAGTCGAGGTCCTCAAGCCCCAAGAGTCCAAAACCAACCCCCCAACCCCAGACTCCATAGTGGTGCCCGAATTCCCGAAGGCCCTCCGAGATCAGCACTCCAAAAGTCGAAATCCTGTGCCGCCGCTTCAGACGCCTGGTTTCAACGGTGCCCGGGGTTAGGTCTGCGCCGGGGGCGGGAACGGTTGTGAAGATGGTACCGTTTCTGCACCTTGGCCGGCCGATGTGGAGATGCAGGTTTTGGCTTTGTAGGGGTTTAGATCTAGGACCTGAAGGAAGGCTTTGTGTTCTTGATGGTTTCAAGTTCAGGATTCTGGGATCTTCTGCGGGCTTGGGGGTTTTGGCGGCTTTGAGATTTTCCGGATTGTTGATGGTCTTGGGGCTCGCCGTTTCGAGTTCACGGTCCGATCTGACTGCAACACTGCTGCTCGTCTGCGTATGGCTCCCTTTCTGCCGCGATACAACTACAAACTCACCCGTTGCGCATGCCATGGGCGAGAAAGATTGCCTTAGCTCCGTAGAACATGCTTGTTGAAGTCCGGCTAAGCGCAAAGCCCAAAGCTCAAAACCCCACCAGAAGCCGAGATCCCAAACCCCCGATCTGAACCCTTGGAATTGAAATTCGTGTTGAGGTTCTGAAATTCATAAGACTTTAGAGCGACAAGCTCTTCAAGGCTCACTTGGAGCCTTCCAAACTTCCTAATTCCAAGCCCTGCACCCGTTTATGCAGGCCCTTTGAGGCTTACACAGCAGGACATGCAAGCTGTCTCAGACTCAAGAAAAAGGTCTCCTGATCCTAAGCCCGACTTTAGGCTAGGGCTTAGGGTCTAAACCCGAAGGCACCTCTTGGCCGTAGCGGCTCCGGTCTTTCTCATCGCGAGCTGAGATCTCAGCAGTTCATGGCAGCGGCTCTCTAATTCCGGGCTGGCTAGGGGCCGAAAAAGCGGCATGAACGTAAGGATCATGCACAAAATGTTCAGCTGGATACCTTGGAAGCCTTGTAGCCTACAGGTCTGGTAGTTGGGACTTGGGACTTGTCAGCGCTGCGGAGGTCCGCAGCACCGCATGCGTTCTCATCCCCTCACGAATTTGTTAGGGCTGTGTAGGGTTTAGAGACAACCAGTCTACTTTGCATGTAGGGTTTCATGTCTGGGTGCTGTGTGCGCGCATACCCGTGTTGTAGCCCTACTTCTTTCCGTGTCTAGCTGTCTAGCTCCAGGTTGATGCTGTTGACTAGGCCGGCTTGTGATGACACGCTTGTGGGTACTTCTGCACCACGTCATGAATAAAATAGACAGCCCTGAAATGCAAAGCCGTGCACAGCAGAATCCGTCCGTTTTTTACATGTTCCCTCGCCCACGCACCCCAAAACTGTCTAATGCGCTTGCGGTACCATGATCAAAGTCTTAGCCCCACAGCCCATGCAGCGGTGGCACTGGCGGTGGTGGTGAGGCTAATGTTAACATTGCTGGGACTGGTGTCGGCGAGGATGGTGATGCAGCTACCTCCTTCCTCTAATATGGGAGTTTCCGAAAACAGGGGACCCTACTATAGTACCCTAAAAGAGGTAGGTACCCTATTATAACGTCACCCCCCCCGTCGTTTGGCAGCGCCTTTTCTTTCTTGCAGGCAGTCCCCACCATCCTGAGCGACCTTTGAGAACAAGTGTCCTTTCCAAATGTATCTTCTGAGCAGCTGTTTTGTCCTTCCTGACTCCCATCCGTCCACAAAGGACATCTTGGTGTCATTCTGTTTCAGAATGACCCCTGTCTTTTCTAGATACTTCCGAGCTGCTTGTTGGCCAAGCTTCTGGATTTCCTCATATGTGACTTGGTCAAGACCCCGCAGACCAACGTGGTGGGACCCTTTGGAGGATGAAGACGAATACTTCAGTCCATGCTTCCTTTTGAAAGCACTGCTGGTAGCTCCTTTCTTTCCATATTTAGATTTGCTGTCATTGACAACACCACGTCGAAGCTTGGCCTTAGCTTCCACCTTGACCATGTTGGGAAGCTGGGATACAAGAATCAAGGGCACTCGGGCAGTAATGGCAGCACAGCAAAGTGTAGTTACCCAGAACGCAGGGTGATGGAAAACGATTTGGAGTGGAGGTATTATAAGGACCCCACAACAAGGCACCCCTAATTTTCGGAAATTCCCCCATATCAACCGTGCTTAAGCTCCAGCTTCTCATGGTTCTTCTTGGCAGTTTTGCGATGTTGCTGGAAGAGCTCCCTGGCACCCAGGTCTAGCAATGCCCGCGGGTGTGGGCGGAGGACTTCTGCAATCCGGTCTTGATGTGGAGCGTTGAGATGGGTTTAGTCTAGGGCTTCTGGATTTCGGATTTAGTTAAGGGCTTTTTCATCTTACTCGGTTTTAGTTTAGACCTTCGGGTTTCTAAGTTCCGATTGTATGGACGAGGCTTGCTGCGGCTTCGCAGCCCGGGAAGGGGGCCACGAGTCAGATCCATCTGGTTTTCAAGTTTAGAGTCTTGCTTTGGAGGGATGTGCAGGCCAGGAACGTCTCAGTTGAGGTGTTTAGTGCCTGCTTCAGAGCTCACCCAGACCTTGCATAACACGCTTTGGTCATTGGAAAGGATTCGTTCTTGGTTGAGGCTGTCACCGGATCTTGCAGTGGACGCTACAATGCTTATTTGGCTGATGCGGGGCCGTGTGCCTGCACAGCAGAACTCAACCCCTTGAATCACGCGGAAGGCTTCCTATCTCTGAAGCCAAGGTTAACAAGTCATGACTGTTGGCCAAGGTACGTGCCGCTGCTGATTGTGACCCACGTTGCAGGGCCTAGTGCCCTAGCTGTGTTGCGATCCCTGTGGTTTTCGGAAGCAGGATCATTGCCATCAGCTGTAGCACAAGCTTCCGGCTTCATGTTGTAGCACTTAGAGCTTAGTATATACCGGGTTCTCTACTTCTACAACCTATTGTCGACATTTATCTGGTGTTTTGGTTCTGGGTGGTTTTGCACTGTAGGTTCTGTGACTATGTTTCCGCGAGCTTACGACCCTGAAGCCCACACTAGACCAGAATCGATTTAAAGTCCGAAATCATCCAAGTCTATTTTGCATGACGTGCGACTTAAGTTACAGCCGTGAGCCCCAAATCCCTGGCCTTTGAAGGGCCCCTACAATCCTGAAGCCCCAAAGTGCACTAGCTCAGGGCTGGCGGCAGTCTTGGCTCAGCCGATCATCGTCGGGGCAGCGCTGGCGGGCAATGCTGCTGGGACTGCCTTCAAAGGCCAAACGCAACGAGAAAAAGATAAAGGCTAAACATTACTCAAAGGGGCTACGGCTACAGGAGATCGAAACCCCACCCATATAACAAACTAGACATCCTAACTTAACTTAATCGTAGCAGAGAATAGCAGCAGAAACGCCAGAAACTGCAAGCCTTAATTATGATAGCCCTGAGACTCGAGCTACATTCACCGAAGACTGAGCATCCCGGAGCCAGCATGTTTCGACGGGCTCAGGGTTCCATGCATGTTGATCTCGATGTTTAAACAGCATGACGGTCCAGACCGCGACCCTGAGCTAAGTCAAACCTTAGAAGCTGTACCGGAAAGCTTAGAGCCACAAACCTAAATCCAAACCAACCTCGGATTTTTCAAAAGGGGTAGATCAGGCTCATACAGAAACCTGAATATTCAGTAAAACTAGGTTTAGGTTGTAGGGGTCATTAATATGTCCACAAGCCGGAAGACAGCAAGAACCAGATTCTGATTATTCGTGCTTTTTTCAGACCAGACTCTAAGCCTTTTGTTCAAGGTCTTTAACATCTGCTGGCAGCTGCGGCACAAGGCCATTGCTTCTCCGGATCGGGGTTCATCGCTTTGTTCGATTGGCGGCTTCCTTTGAATCTTGTGGTTTGTTTTTCGGAGGGGTTGATTGTTTCCAGCGCCGGGAGAATGATCGAAGGAGCTTTGGCACTTTGAGGGCCGTCGGCTGCTACAGCCCCTAACCCTTCGCAAGATTTGGGGTCTCGATGTCGGGTTTAGTCACTATCGTAAAGGAGCCCTCTTGATCCCAATAATTTTGTTATTGCGGGTTCCTCAGTCGTGTTCTAAGACTATACTCCAAATCCCTGGTCGAAATGCTGAGGCGCAGATATTGCCACAACTAGCCGGGATTCTGCAACACTGCCATGGATTTCATTGCTTCCACCATGCGCCACTGAAGCGATCCAAGGTCTTGAACGAAAGACAAAGACTAAGGATAAAGCTACAGCTGGCACCCTCTCCCACTGCCGGGTATTTTTAAAGCCGAAGCCCAAAGTCAGATGAGCCGCGAAAGTTTGCCCAGAAGCAGCAGATCGCTGCTTGTTGCCAGAGGGATGGGCTCTTAGATTCCCTGGGAGTCCGGGGGTCCCTCTGCAAGCCTTCGTTGAAACCCGCACAGCCATATTATAAGCCCTTAATTCCCGCTATAAAGCCCGCAGAGAGCCCAAAAAGCTGCAAGAGAGGAGTGCCGGCTGCTCGATGGTCAGCTAGCCCTTGCGATGATTGCTCCCTGCCTGGCCGGCAATCTCGTGGGAACCATCATGAAGCTTGGCTCCTGTTGGGGGTATGTCGTCCTTATGGTTCAGAACTCGGGCTTCAGAAATTCAAGCCATGTGACCACTGAAGAACGCAAAACTGCATGAGTTTCAACGGCTCATAGTCCCAAGAAGCATCTTGAACCTTGCGCTTCAGGAACCAGCTCTTTCCATCGGTGGTCATCATGATTTTGCTACTGCTCTTGGTTAGCTGCGCCGAGGCTACATTTAGAAAGCAGAGCTGATTATTCGCAGCTGCCTGGAAGAAAGTCAGACACCAGAACTGAACCCCTGTGGTTGCCTTCCTGGTCGCATGCTCAACATGCTGATGCGGGAGGTTTCAACAATTCCACGGCACAGCCCAGAAGACACAGATTGACGAGGTACCTTTTCGACGTCTGCGCGACGAGCCCTGAACATGTGGCATGCAGAGAACGAGTGCCGGACTCAGACTGGAAAGCAGCACAGCTTGCAGCTTGAAGCTTCTCGCCACTGCTTCTTGCTGCTGCCTCTACAATCTGCAACGACTCTACCCATACTGGTTGTTGCGCTAGAGCGAAAACTGGGGTGGGCGAGAGGGACCTTTGGGTTTGATGATACGGTTGCTAATGCTCTCCAGTCTTCAAAACCGTGCAAAAAATTCTGGCCTGCTTGGTGGAGGTCTAAAATGCGATAAGCACTGCAAGACACAAATGCCCCACAGGTCACGCTGTGCCCTTCAAGCATCCCGTGCGTCAGTGCCAGCAGCAGATTCCTCCAGGTTGGCGCATCGGGCTTGCCTTGAAAGTTGTAGGTCCGGGATATGGGAGCTTCCGAAATTTAGGGGGTACCTGATTATGTGGTCCTCATAATAAGGATCCTACTTTTTTGGGGTACTATATTAGGGTCCCCTGTCTTCGGAAACTCCCATATCAGTTTCCGTCGTCGGTGAGTCCCAAGCATGAATTTGCATTAAAGAATATCAAGACCCCTTAGTGACGTTGTAAATCCGGAAGCTGTTGCAGCTCATGGCCCAGGAGTGATAGTGCCCATGTTTGGCATGTCTTGAGGCTACAGAACTTTGGAGGGGTCTTGGGCTATGCCTGTGAGGCTTTAAGGCATTTGGGGGTTGGGGTTCGTGACTGAGATGTGCAAGTTCTTCTCGAGGGAGTGGTGAAGGATTCCCGGCCTAGGGTTTAGGCTCTACAATGTCATAGTTCTCAGAAATTGACGTATAGCAACACTCGCCAGCATGAAGCAACGCTTTCTGGTGCTTCTGCTGCTGATTCTGGCGCTGGCGACTCTGCCGAGCCTGACATCCGTAAACCATCTGCAGAATGCCCCGAGGACCCGGAGATGGAAAGCACGAAGCTCCTGGAGAACGTAGGGCCTAGATGAATGCGAGCATATTCTAGACAGAAGGGTCCAGGGGTCCAGAGAGAGGAGTGTGATGCTTGTGGCCCGGCGTACGCAGATGATCAGCGTAAGTTTGAGGGTGGGACGCTCTCGGAACATGTCGTATGCAGCATGCCCCAACTTGAAGGAGGCTGCCCTACACGCCAGTCTGAAAACCTGAACCCACGCCGGCGAGCTTTGGTGGTTCTCAGGGATGAGGCTTGTGTTTTAAGGCTATTCAGGGTTCGGAGTCAACTAGGGCCTCCGGAGATTTGAGGGCTTTTTATGGTGTTCGTGCTCATTGCGTATCGGGGTATCGGAAGCCACAGGGTCCCAAACCTCATGGCGCCCTGTGCCCCGAATCGCTTGTTCTGTGCAGATTGAAAGAACGTGGAGGAAACTGCCCTTGTTTCTGTTTCTTCGAAAGGTGTTCCAGAGACCTGGAGCTTAAAGTTGTAGGCCACTGGAACAGGCGAGCACCACCAGACACACGTCTGTCAACGTTCTCACGAAACTCACGAGGCCGAGTCTGGTTCTCTTCGCAGCGTTGGTCTGGTCCTACTGTACACATCCTACAACCTCTGTCCCAAGCCTACAGTAAGCACCCCAAACTGATGGGGTGTTCTGGTTCATCGAACGACACCTGAAGGACGATCTGGGCAACGAACAGCAAACACCAGGCCTCCAGCGGGCCTGCAGCCACGAGTTGCGCTTCGTTTTTTCTGTTGTTGTTTGCTTGGGCCTTCGGGTTTGGGCATAAGGGTCTGCGATTGACAACGGTCCATGGTGCGGTTTTTGGTCATCAGGTTGTCAGGATCGAACATAGCAGCACCCAACTCATAGTATGGCACCTCTATTGAGTTCATGCCTTTGTGCCCTAAACCGGGTCAACAACTCATTCACACCGCTGGTTTGGTACTTCGACCTTATCAGAGAAGAGTTTGTTTATCTTTCTGCTGGGTGGTGAATTCATTGCCGAAGATGTGGCTTCTGAGGCATGCAGTGTGGACTCCCATTGCTGATGCTAGTTCGAGGTATAGCAGCATCCAAGCGAAGTTTGAGTATAGGCGCAGGCGATGCTGCAAAGCCAGCTAGTTTCAGCAATGCTCCTGTGCAGGTGCGACGGCTCACCCACAGAGAGCGCGTGCAAAATCGAATGGAGAGGAGAAGGGAGAAGGCTGACTTCTCCGAGACGACCGGAGCACTGCCAGATCCCCGCCAGATCATGGACAAGTTGCGCTACATGGCAGAAGGCCATGTACTGTATGCTGACGGAGCTGCGCAGCATGTGATCGAAGATTACCTGGCCACTTGCATCCACTTTGCAGAGTTTTACTCCCTAAGCCCTGAGTCCTCAACCCTACCAGCCCTAAGCCATCAACTCTTGCACCGTTAGCCGAAACCCTCAACACGACAAGCTCTGAGACCCACTTGTTTGTTTCGCCAGCTTGCCAAAACCACAACCTACAGCACACCCTAAGCCGTCAAAGAAGCCCGGATCATCGCGAACTTGTGAAGATTTTGGAAACGCAAGCCATTTGTCTCTGATTTCGGCCCAAGCATTCCTTAGCCCTCAAGTCTTTGCAACGTCTCGAGGAAGATCCGCCAGTCTCTTGAAGCTGAGGCTCTGAAGCTCCTGGCCCTGGCTCTGAAGACCTAGTACTAGAGTAGGGGTAGGGATATAACTTACCAAAAAGCTTAACCTTTAGTTCCCCATGATACCCGACAAGTAGGAAGAGGCATCAACCATCCATCTGAGATCGGACAGCCAAGGACCCTTAGACTCTGAACCATCAACCCCAAACTTCGCAATCCCTCCACCAGAATCTCGATTCGAAGCCCCGACTCTTGACTAAACGGCCGTAACAACCTAACTGTTGTACCTTACAGTCCAAACCACCAAAGCCCAACTTCAGACCGAGGATGCTGGCGGAAGGTCGCCCACTTTGGCTTTCGAACTGGCCCTCCGCGCTTGCGCTCAAAAGGGGGACCGGCAGCCGGTGTTTGGGTCTGAGATTTCGGATGGAGGGTTTGGGTTTTAGGGCTTAGGGTTTAGGGTCTAGGGCTTTGAGAAGGAATGCCAGCGGGATTTGGGATTTGGGTATAGGGTTTCGGGTGGCTTGGTAATTTTGTAGGGAGCTTTGAGGGTAGGGTACGTGGCTGTATGGCTCTGGTGTCGGGTTTAGGTTTTTCTGATTATGCGGGTTCCAGAGATATGCAGACGTCGTTTTCCGGTTTTGCTCTCTCGGCTCAGTTGGCACTTAGGACTCAGGACTTCATTGGATTTAAGCATTTTTGGTTTCATGCGGGGGCTTTACAACTAAATGGAGCGAGCGTTTAGGATTCAAACCGCGGGATTCAATCGTTCCTCCTTCGCGTGGAACTTGTGAGCCATTTCCCTGAGGACGAAAATGAGATCAATTCTCTCCTTGACTCGGCTGAGCATGCAGGACTCTTTGTTCTTTTGGGGTCAAAGACTTAGGGTTGTTTCGGGTTTCTGGATGTTTACAACATGTCAGTTTATGTATTCATCTCACTTTGGACAAAAAGTCCCAACACGCGACCCTGATAAAGCAGTCAGGCATAATGCAGGACATGGCACTAGCATGTTCGGAGCCTCGATCTACCTCCAGCAAATCGCGAAGCCAAGCACCCCGCTCTCCGGTGAATGCGCGAAGCCTACGCCCTACATCCCAAACCATGAACTCGGAAGACCTACCCCACCATGAACCCGTGTTTCTCTGCCTCAAGGCGAGCCCGAACCCTGGATAGATATCTCCTTGACCCACCACTCCCTCAAGGCTTACGGATTAGGGTTTAGGGATCCCTGCTTGAGCATCTGAGCATCCCATCTACCACAACCCAGCAAGAGCAGACGCTTCCAGGAATGGACCGAACACAAATGCTCGACTCCCTCTTGCAAGACTTCTCCAAGATTGGTCAAGAGAAGGTCGCGGAGTCCTTGTACGAAGGCGCTGGGGGGCGGGGGGGTTCTTTCGCTTTCGCGAGACTAGGATAGGCAACTTCCTTGAGTCGAAAACCCCGGGATCTGAAACCCTTCAAGGCATTTCATGACGACGGTGGCGAGACAAGGACGACCACCACCGCAAGACGGGAAGACGAAACCCCCACTGGCCTAAGCCTAAGCACGACAAAAACACCAGACCCCGAGCTCCAAGATGGAGGCCTCGATGATTCGAGTAGAGTGTTCTGTTGAACTGTTGGAGCAGAATATAGTATACCAGTGTAACGACGCCTGGACATTGAGGGGATATGTTTACGAGCTGTTCAGACCTCTACACAAACATGGGTGGGCTCCGTCACCTCAGGGCACCGGAATGTTCAGCACCGGCAAACTTCTTCCATAGGCCTGCCTGAAACTCTGAACCCGCAAGCTCTCAAGCTTGAGGCATGACTGCAACCGGTCTGAATAGTTTGTAAGAGCATCCTCGTGCTAACATCCCTGGAAGTGTATATATATATATATGTATACACACTGTAATGTACCCGAACACCTCGAATACGCTATTGTATTTATTTGCCAGCAGATTAAGACGAGGCATGTCTCCGAGTCCTAGACGCTTCGGCTACCTCCTGCAGTCAGCCATCAAGAGCAAGGACGACAGGGCCTTCATGATCCTTGAAGGGCTCGTCTCAAGGGTTACTCTACGGGTTACGAAACAGCTTCCACAAAAAAGCCGCTTGGCAATTAGACTGTGTTCGTGCATGTTTGGTATAAACCGTTTATGATTTATGAGGGACATCGTTGCAAAGTATTCCGACCGTACTGGCACCTCTGGGTAGCTTTACGAGTCAGTTGATTCGATACCTCGCCTAGATCCCAAGTCTTGGGTTTAAGGCTTTAGATGAGGTGTTAAACCTTGCTGAGCTTCTACCTTTCCTAAATCCTAAAGCGCACTCCATGCCTGAAGGATATCACGGGAGCGTGGTCATGGATCAAAGAGCATGACAAGGAGAGCCCAGGGCGCGTAAAGGGGCTTAGGCATAGCATTTGCTGCGAGTACCAGGAGCAGTCTGAGTAGCAGTAATTGGGAGGATGAGTTCCAGTAAGTTACCACGAGGGAGAGTACTTCTAAGGTACTAGTTGTCGTCATACTAGTTGTACTCGCAACTAGTACTGAGTACCAACAGTAGAACACTCCCGTCTAGCAGCCGTAGCAAGAGGAGAGGCCGGAAAAGCAGCAGGAGGAGCAGGAGTAAAAGTCGGAGGTTTCCGTGCACTGCGGACAATTGCAGCAATCGCGAGGATGGAATACATCATGGTTACAAGGTCGTGGAAGGGAGTTGACACACCATGAGCTAGTTCTACAACACAAGATTGTGACGGCGGGTGCGAACGGACTGCGATGCCTAGTCAAGTTCTATGGTGTCACGATAAGAGCTATGAGCGTGGCCTTGTATAGGTCAAGAGTGGAGGCATGCTACGCGTTCTCCATCTCTAGGTGTAGGCCTGTGGGCATGCTACGCATACCACAGTGCCGAACCACTTTATCATATGCCGCCCATGCAACTTTGGCTCAAGACTGAGCACAAGCTCTAGAAAGCATTGCCGATAGTTAAAAGTAGCTTTCGTCTTCTGTGACCTTTCCGAGGAACAGAGCCATCCCGAGCACAGACGATCCATCGCTGGCCGCGAAAGTGGAAAACAAGCGAGCTCTGGATCTGCCTGCCCTGGGAGTAGTGCTTGCACGCGGGAGTGAAGGAGAGAGAACGTATTGAGTCTGTAGAGGGCAACCACATCGTTATCCAACATAGCTCGGTGGGGTGAGCGACAAGGAACATCATCGAGAACAAATCCCCACGCAGCGGGCAAGAACAAGGATACCTCGACCCTACAAACCACATCGGGAGCCCTACACCCGAAGCCGAACATCCCTGTTGTGGCTTGTAGCATGTCTATTTCACCTTCTAGTTGGAGCAGCTCTGAACGCCCTGTCGCAGAGGCAGGATTCACCATCGACCCCGGCCATTTCAATTCTTTCATCAGACTCTGTGCCCTGGCAAGGAGAGCCATGTTGTGGGAAAACCCAAACACCAAATGACTCCTTCAGTGTGTGCTTCATCTGCGTTTGTTATTCAGCGTGTTATACTGGTGTCAAGAATCACCAGACGTCTCGTTGCAAACTACGTATGGGGTCTTGGGAGAGCATCTCCAGAGTGCTGTTCTTGTGGCCATTAGCTTGAGTTGTCACGTGCCATAATAACAGCCACTCCAGGAACGGTTTCACTAGACTTTAGAGAAGTTTCGGTCAGGCTGTCAGGCTCGTTCCGCTACTTTCACAAGCCTTCTGTGCTTGTTGCTTGTTGTGATCTCAGTGTTGGTGGCGGTACTCGGCTTCGAAGTATAAGGCTGGCTGCGGCTATCATGACCATGGACTTTATGCCCATGAGTCGCTTGACGATCTGGGTTATGTGCGTGCTCACGAAGATAGAAAAAACCCGGTCCCTCTCAGAACCCTACCCTTCAACTTGAGTCCTCAGCCCCACTAATCCCCAAGCCAACCCCACCCTGCGTGCATCATACGCCATGAATCCTCAACTTAGCCGAGATTCTGTTGACATTCGCAGTTGTATGTCTAGCAGTATCACACTAAGACAGACGCTTTAAATCAATGAAACCCGAATTAAAGCTATAGAGTGAACCCCAAAATGGAACCGTCAAACCCGGAAGCATAAACCCTAAACCCTAAACCTCAAGCTCCACCGAAAACAGAGCCCTATCCCAGGACCCCAAACCGTAAACATTACACCGTGTACACCCAATAACCCCTAAGCTTCCTAGATCCTAGCCGCAACAGGCGTCCGGAAAGAAGGCGTTGCTCGCACGGAACGGCGCTTCGAAGAGCTGCTTGAGTTGAGGTCCTTCGATGGCAACGGCAACTGGGTTAGTTCAAGTTACCATCACGAAGAAGCCATATCAAATGCCAGAAATCTTTATGAGGGTCACGTCTTATGAGGGTCACGTGAGCTAAGTTCTTTAACAAGAACTGAAATGCTGTGTTTGGCTTTTCGGCCACGCTTCAGTGTTGAGTGTACGCGGGGCTTCCTAGCAATACTGGTGAGTGTGCATTGTGGGTTCCGTTATGGAGACAGTAGGCCTGTGTCGATTCGATGAGCTAGGTTATAAGCGGTCTAGACTAAGGGAACCACTCGAAACGAAGCAGTCGTAAGGATAATACGCCAGTCATAAGACAAGAATGAGAGGTTTGAGAACAACAGAGGAAATCCAGATAGAGTGCGTGGAACGAACGCTAATAGGGCCTCAAGACGGGTCAAAGAGGCAAACTCAGGAAGAAGAACGCACAGCACTCTTCACGACTACATGATTATATCGTAGCTTGTGACCTCTTAAGTTGTGTCGCGCGCTTCCGCTGTCGTCGATGCTCCCAAGTGCCTTTGGAATGTGCCGGGACTGTTCGGCATGTTGCATGCAGCATGTTGCACAGCCCGGGCACAAGAAGTCGCGAAGACGTGATAAAGCCTTGCACCAGCCACCAAGATTTAGGGTTTGTGATTTCTCGCAGGTTCTGCCCAGACGACACCAGTTTCGGTATGCTGATGGATGCCTATGCCAAGAAGGTGGCCGGTTTTGAAAATCTTGCAGGCTTTGGCTGGCTGCACACGTGAGGGTTTCGGGTTCAGGGGTTTCTGCGCCGGTGGCCTTAAGGGTTAGGGAGTTAGTTCTTGTTGGTGGGTTTTGTGGGTTCTGATAACGTCTCCGTCCTGAAACCAGCCCCCGTGATAGGGCAACGTCACTGCATGCTTGCGATGGTTGGACAAGATGGAGGCAAGGACGCACGGGCTTTGCACGTGATGAGCTTTGTTCCAAAGCAGGGCAGTGCTCCTTCCAAGGTCTTGTTTTGATTCGGAATCGATTTTGAGGAAGACTGCGCCGAACACTAGAACAAGCAACTCTCGAATGAATCGTGCCTGACCCGCGCATTGGCAAACCCCTGAATCCCAACAGACACAGTCTTGATTGAGTTGCCCCCGAAAACATCATGCAACATCATGTCTAGAAAATGAGGTTTAGATTGTCTCGGCCGATTGGAGCCAGACGCCGCAGAAGCAACGCTTTGAACTCGGACTAACTGGATATAGTAACGACAAAGTCCACAGTTTAGATGTCAAGGTACCAGTGGGAGTCGCAAAAAGAACATGCCCTCTATGCCTCTGAAACACACTGGAACAAGATTCTCAGCATCGAATTAATGATTCTGAAAGAGGACACGGTGAGGACTTTGTGAGTTTCTGCCTGCATGGTATTGGACGAATTTCCGACCCTAATGTTAGAATCCAATCACTCTATACGGTTCTTGGTCGTATGAAACTGGAAGCCCCAGGAAATTACCTCAAGCCACTGCATGGTGGATACAGTCAAGTCAGGAGTACTGAGATTGGGCAGACCCACTTGAAAGAACGCTCAATCGCGGCTCTATATTATGTTTCATTGTTCGGCCGCACATGTATATAGTTGCGGGTTGCAACTGTAACGGTGAACGTTTTGAATCCTCGAGCCGTTAAAGCCACAAGAACAAGCCCGTACCCCCATGCTCCGCAATGTTGAATTGAAGGCATTCGGGTTGACCCCGGGCTCCATGCACTACGGTCAGATACTGAAGGCAGGTCCCTTTTTTCGAGTCTTGGGATCTTTGTTTTGGGCGTTGGATACTTCACTTCGGCACCTGGGGTTTAGAGTTTAACGAAATTACGGAAGAGGAGCTTGTCCTTGTTGCAGAGGTCACTCATTTTGGATACCCTCGCCCACTTGGGGGTTACGGGGTCAGGTTGCAGGCTGTTGCAGTACACCACTCGGCAAAGGTCCAGGGACGACAACGAACGTTCTCTGTTTGCCTGCGAAGTCCAGGAAGCAACTCCCTCAACCCCAAACTTCAGTAGGAGACGGAGAGGAAGGCTGGCTCCTGGAACGATAGTGGAATGCAAACCTGATGGGGCTTGACGGTTCGGCTTTCGGTTAGCATATTCGCATTAGGATGTAGAGATTAAGTGTTTAGTAGATGCCTAGTCCCGAAACCCTGAACTCCACACCCTAAACCCTGCACAGTCTCTCTGAATCCTATCCAGGCATGCGCGAAGTCTCCTGGGAAGCACTCCTTCGAAGCCGAGCGAGTGGTGCGATCAATGCGAAGCCATCAGATATCCCTGACCCAGGCGAGGCGAGAACTATTGTAGCTGAAACAGTGCGCTTTAAGACCTTTTCTGGTTTCTGCGTTTGTTCATTTCTATTCACGAGGTAGACATTGAACTTCTTTTGAGTCTGAAAGTGAATTCTGTCTTTGGCTTATGGTTTGACTAAGCAACCCATCGCGGTAGAGTCAAGGATACACAGTAACCAACGTCGGATCTAAGCATTGTAGAACCCTGAGACCCTGTTCTTTCGAAGTTTCAAACTTAAGGTTTCGATCAAATCCGGCGCTGGCATAGATGCATGGATCCCCAAACCTGTTAATTAAGTCGCTATGTGTTAGTTGCGGCTCCAGGCTCATGAATGCGTCAGACAAGATTGAAACCCGAACGCCTCAAGAGAGACGGCGAGCCCCCTGTGGGAAATCTCCCCTGTTGAAGACTGGGTTGCGGTGGAGCAGGGGATGCTTCGCTATGTGCAGTCTACGAGGGCCTCGGGTTGAAGGGTTACTGTAGGGGCCTTTATAAATAGAATAGGGTTTGGGGGGGGGGGGGGGGGGGTTATTATACTATAGTTTCCTCCACACAACCCGATTCTAATTATTAAGGCCCTTGAGTTTGTTGGCTCCACCAAGCCCCAAAGCCCAATCCTGAAACCCGAACTAGGAACGAAGTTGAATCATGAGCCCTTTGAGAAAGAGGCCCGAATGGATGCAGAGCGTGAGTGTATGGGTGCTATAAAGGGAATCTTGTTATTGTTCATTCGTATCAAGTCTTTAGATCCCAACGTTAGCATGTCCCGAAGCCGGCACATCCTACGACCTGTTCCTTTGGATGAGATGAGGTGGACCGATGGCATTTGCTGGAAGCAGTTGGGCCGGAGCGCTTCAAGAAGGAGCTTAAACCCTAAACCCTAAACCGGCCTCCCTAGCTAGCCGAAGCGGTATGGTTCGAGTTTGGCAGGCGGGTGGAGTGTCAGGGAATTTGGGGCGAGAGCTAAACCCTAAACCCTAAAACGGCTCTGATGGCAGGCTAAAGGGAACGGAAAGCCACATAGGTCACAGAAGACTCTGGATAGAGCACCCTTACACGAACTCTGGACTCTAAGCCCTCAGCTGTGAGCCCCTAAGTGCTAAACACCGAAACCGTAGACCAATGTAGAATGGGAGTTTCCGAAAATAGGGGACCCTAATTTCGCACCTTAAATGGTAGGATCCTTATCATGAGGACCCCAAAACGAGGTACTCCTTCTATTCGGAAATTTCCCATATACCCAGACCTTACAGTAGAAGCCAGACAGTTGAACATGGCTTTGGGAGGATTGGTGCTTGGATCCCTTATACTTTTACCTTAAGGGCATGGGGATAGTGATGTTCCACGTTTCTGGCTTCTACTGTTTTAAAACCACAGCTCCGTGAGGCTTGCAAGTCGATGGGCCTCTGCACGAAGCTCCCGAAGCTGAAAAGCGAGCTTTCTCAGCGGCCCCAGCGACGGAAATGAGCCGGGCCTCTTAGGCTTTTGAGGGCTTAGGCCTAGGGCTTCAGAGCTTTAGGGTTTAGGAGCTTTTAAGACTTTGGGACCAGGGGCATGTCCCCTGTCCCGGTCTGCAACGTGACGCAGTGAGAGCTGTTGATCGCATGACATAGGGACCTGAATATTTGTCATACTAGTCCCCAGGATCCCTTGCCATACTTCTGCATTCTACTATGCCCCCCAAGCTGTTATCCGATGTAACATGCTGACTACTCAGGTCCTTGTATTGTGCGAGTTCCCTGGAACAGATGTCTACACGTGGGGCTCAACATGGGCTCTGGTCCAATCAACCATAGCACCAGATCCTAAACCGTAAAGCCCAACAATCAACCCGCATAAAGGATCGCAGTTTTTGGATCCGTCGAACATGATCCCCACAACGCTGCAATCTAAGCAGAGCTGCGTTCCAATCGACATCTGATCTCCATTTGACGAAAGATTCGGGCAGAAAAGGCCAAAGTCAAAATCGTCTAGGGGTCGAAACATGTAGACATACCCCAAAGCCCTATTCTATTTGTTGAGGCCCTACATTTCCATGACTACCTAAATTCTACTTTCGTTTTGGGTTTTGGTGACTCTCTAATGAACCTTAGGCTAAATTAGGGTTCGGCTGTGGTAGGATGCTGAGATGCTGAGAGCCCCCACTTGGTACGTTCCGTGTTTAGGCCAGTAAAGGAGGGGCTGTATGGGTGGCCAGGACAGAGCCTTTGAATCTTGGGCCGAGATGTTCACTGCGTACAGTGCCACGAAAGAGCGAATACTTCAGGTGAGGCTGCAAAATTGCTGTGTAGATCGAGGAGTCCTATCTAGCTAGGTAAAGCTTGCAACATGCAAGCCTCAGTCCATGAAGCCTGTCACATGGGAACCCCTGAACTCGAAGCTTCCAAGCCAGAATCCCTGAAGCCTTCAGATCGGATTGACTCGAAGGGCAAAGATCTGCAAGTCACAGGACAGTTGGAGCAATGAAAGATCACGAGGCGACCCTTAATAGAACGTCCGGACATGTAGGAACCAAGGAGGTCTCGCCGAGAAATAGGAACCAAGCAGGTCTCGCCGAGAATCAGGGCTTCTTGCCTCCATCCACTCCTATGAAGCCCTTTACAACCTTACAGAGCCGCAGGGTTCGTAATTTTTTGGGCTATCCTTGGGCTCCTCCCCTCAACCAGCACAGGGTTTGGGGTCAAGTTGCATAGCGCGGGGTGGGTTTATACGTGGACCCCGAAGACCTTTGCAGGGGGTGCCTGACTTCCAGACTGGATTCCAGACCTCCTGCACGAGCTTCCGCGAAGCACATCGAGCTGAAACCCCAAAGGCCTCTTCTTCCCGGACATTTTTATTAATTTCGAGGATCGCATACGCCATCCGACGTTTCGATATGAAGCGGTTTCTCGGAAAAAGCTGCAGCTGCACTCTTTCTGGTGTCTGGGCTTGTCCAGCTTCGGGGCTTCGGGGCCCGGGTTGACAGTGCTCCTGTGGCTGGTTGTCAAAATCATCGTCCCTTTTTTGGGTTCCCTAAATATTCGGTGCCGTATTAGAATAAGGACCCCAAAAAGGGACCCTAATATTGACAACCACCCCTGTGTGGGTTTCTGATTCTCAACGCGAAGACCGGCTCCTGCCAGGGCCGACCCATCGGTCATCGGCAAGGAGACAGCGTCCCTCGGAAGTTTCAGTGATCAGGGGGCAAAGAGCTTCAGGGCAAAGGGTTTCGGTATTACTGTACGGCATTAGGGGCCGGGTTACCATTCTAAGGGTCCACGTAAGGTGATTGAGTGAGGTTTGGTGAGTTCTGTCTCGTTCTTCAGGAATTAAGGGTTTTAAGGAGTGAAGCTACGTTAAAAGAAAGGACTGAGTACAATGCCCACAAAGCAAAGTTTTTCTGGAATTCCTCTCGACCCATACGTGGCCGAACAACATCCATGTTTTGTCGTGTTCGCACTCTCCGTTACACGTAGTTTTGTGTTGACATCTTCAAATGGTCGTTCACCAATCCCCCCGCGAAGCCTGAACTTAACACCCAAGGCCCCGAGCCCCGAAGCCTTAAACCGCAAGTTCCAAAAACACCTACAGCCCCCCACCGCTTCCTCCCGACTCGCGAAACCTTATGTAACGCCCAAAACCCCACAAGCACTTGGCTTCCAAAACCAAAAGCTTTGAACGGAAACTGAAGCCCACGACCGGTCAACCCCAAAATCCCAAAACCTCTGAACCCTCAAACCCCCAACCCTAAAACCCCTAAACCCTAAGCCCCAACCAATCAATCTCAAGCCTTGAACCCTAAACCCGAACCCCTGCATTGGAGGGTTCCCTACTCTAATCATAGCATAATGGGTCCCAAGGCCCTATTTCTTATCAATACCTACAGTAGACCCTGGGGGGTTCCCTAGTCTAATTCTAGTATCATGGATCCCAAAACCTTCTTTCTTATCAACTTATCGGCCCCTCTATTCCACCCTCACTCCTCTTACATAAATTATATCCCAAAACCCTCTTATTATTGAGGCCCCCATGTTACACCCTCACTCCTCTTTGAGCCATCCTGCTCGGCCCAGGAGCACAGCAGCACCGAAGGAGGAGGCCTCGATGTCCTCCGCAGCGCGAGGTGAGGAGCCTTGGAGACGACTTCAGATGAGCCTTAATCATGGAGGTTTGGGGGGCTCCTATTATTACAGTTATAGCATATAACTTAATACGGCCTTAATAGTTGAATTAAGGTTTAGGGTTACGGGTTTAGGGTTTAAGGTTTAGGGTCACAGGTTTATGTTTTCAAGTTTTATTGGGTACCTAGTTACAATTACAGTAGAATGGGCCCCAAAACCATCTTCTTGTGAGGTCCCCTTCTTAAGGGCTTGGTAGAGGGTCAGAGGTTCAGGCCTTTGGAGACGATTGAAAAAGGGGCCAGCTTAGGGTTGTCAGTTGCGTTGGGTGCAAGATTGAACGGTGTAGTCAAGGGCTTAGTTCAGGACTTTACAGGTTTGGGGTCCAAGATGCAAGACTTCGGGGATGACATCGTACTCGTAGTTGAAGAATTGAAGCGTAAGGGTTTACGGCTGGGGCTTTGGGGTTCAGGGTTTGAGTTTCATGTTCGTCCGATTTGAATCTGATGGTTTTGGGTTAAGGGTTGAAGGTTTCGGGTTTAGGATGTGAGCATAGGATGGCTTGCCTTCAGCTTCCAGTCAGACGACCGGTCCAACTTATGGCTGAATTGCAGAAAGCCAATCAGGGCAGTCTTTTCCTCGTCTGAGTGCTTTGTCAGCTCGAAGCCACGAGCTTTGGGCTTTGTTTGTTTTGCTTTGGCTTCCCTCTGTTCGAACTCGCCAAATTTGAAACTACTGCTTGTGCAGAGGCTACGAGTTCAGCCCAGTCCAAGGGGGTTGTGGTTTCAGGGGTTGGGATTCAAAGTTCTGTGTCTTGCGGGCTTAGATTCGGAGTTCAATCTGGAAACATACATGCTTTGACACACGCGAACATGTATAAGCACAGCCTGGCATCATACAGAATACAAAAGAAGATCTTTGTCACACAAAGTGCCTGTGACTTGGCCTGGTTTCCACAGGGCCTGCCGTGCAGGCCAGAAGAACACGATGATAGACTTTGGCATTGTGTCCAGGACCTTTCCAACAGGGGCATCTTTAAGGCACTTCAAACGACATGCTCTACACACCCCAAGCCTACAATGCGCGAGCTCGCTAAGGAAATTGAGGAGGAGGACCCACCCTACACTCAAGTCACAGCCTGAGCGAGCTTGTAGTTTAGTTAGATTTTGGGCGGGTTGTGCAGCGGCATGAGGTCTCATAGATCTTGACTTTAGAACCAGTGGCTTGGCGTTCGTGCCATTCAACCCGGCTACAGGCCTTTCAGAAGCTCCTAGACCTCAAGCATGCATCCCTGAACCACAAGCTACGCGTAATATGTTGGACCAGATAAGGAGCAGTTTGCGGTTATCGCATATGCCAACATGACGGCGCCGTCTCAAGGATCTCAGTGGCCACGTTTGCATGCAGAGAGAAAGAGCGGGAACCGAGCCCTTCACCTATGATTTTTGGTGGAGCTACACAACCAAGCCGGATGTAACGGTAGCTTCATTCTAATGGTAAGCGCACCTGTACAGGTAAACCTCGTGGTATACTCAAGTGCTGAACTCTGGACACTAACTTAGCATGTTCTTTGCAGTACTTTAGGGTTGCACGGATTGCTTGCTGCAGGTTTCCTTCTTTTCTGACAGCAGCATGAAAGACTCCAGCCAGACGTTGACGAGGAGATGCCAAGTTAGCATTGGACCACCTTTCGGAAATAAAAGCAAAGTAGACGTGAGAACGCAGCAACCGTAAGTTTTTAATACCCAACGACTGCAGCAGGGGGAAGAGGATCAGCACTGCGTGTTAATTAGTACTTTCTGTTCTGCCGTTGCTAGTGTTTGTGGTGGTAGCGTCGGTAGTAGCCTGCCGTCGCGGTCGTGGTACGGGTCCTTGTGGTGCGGCGCTCGTCGGTGTCTGCAGTACTGATTGTAGGAGCAAGCAAACGCTTGATGCTTGTCTTGTGGTCGTAGTTAGCATACTTCTCGTCCTTGTCATTGTCTTGTCAACGTTGGTGTTGCAAGTTGCATGCTATGGCAGTGCAGCAGAGCACAACGGTACTGGGATCATTGCTCAGTATAAAAGCAACTGTAAAGTGTAAAGTGCTCCTCTGCCGTATCGCGTACACGGCTGTGTTGGTTTCACCGACTTTCGACTTCTGATTTGCAGAATTGCGCACAAAGACAAGAGAGAGGGCCTGCTCATGAAGCTCTAATAGAGTGCTCGTCGAAACGACTCAGAACATCTTGAAGAACTGAGAATACACTGGCTGCGAATGTAGCCTACAAAATTAAGGAACATTGCGGGGATGTGCAACAATGCGGGAATGTAGAAACGCTTCAAAATCGAGACACTAGCTTGATGCGCGAATCAGAGCATGGTTACTACCCAGGCCTTGTGATTCCCCGCTTGTCCAACGAATCTGGGAGACAAGGATCGCAGAGAAAATCAGCAACCTACAGAAGTCCTGCTAAGACATATTTGGGGTTTAGGGTGCTTGGAACTCGCTGAACTCTGAAACTCTGAACCGTGGACGCTTCGGAACATTCGGCCAGGAGACGAAATCCCACCATCCTACCGCTCTCCGGCACAACGCTCGGCCCAGAGGTGTTTTGGGCGGGGTCGTCGCGAGATTCAGGAATAGGGCTTGAATTCATACAGGCAGGAGCGGTCGGAATAGTTTTAGGTAGCCTTCAGTTGGTATTTTTAGGGAGCTCCTCAATAAAATCCCTGTTTCGTTGGGCGGCTCGGATACTCGGTACAAACGCTTGGATCTTGGGAGGATAGGTTTAGCGGCTCGGTTCTGGTATCCAGGATTTAGGTTTGCGCGTAAGTTGAAGCTTCACCTGCACGATTCTTTCTTTATTGGGGCAGCTCTTCTCCATTCGTGGGCCGTCAATCTGTCATTTAGAGGGTTTCTGGTACTGTATTTCTGCACTGCGTTAGTTGAAGTCGAGTCTAGGTGGTGTCAGGGGAGCGTTTCAAGTCAAAAAGGCTACTTTCCCTGAAGCTGAACATGTGTTGCCAACTCTCAGCTCAGAATCTGAAAGCTTCAATCCCAAGCCCAGCTATCTAGCTACCTATCTATGTATCGACTCAGTATCTATCTAGCTGGTATCTATCTATGTACCTATCCATCTACCCATCCATCTAGCTTTCTAGCTATCTACGTAGCTGTCCTTGGAGCTATCTATCTATCTGTCGATCCATCTATGGACTATCGCTAGCTGCAAGTACACCTTAGCTATCTACCTTGTCCTGTTCTCTGGAATGCAGGGCTTTGGGTGTTGTAGGTAATTGGCTCCCCCGTCTTATGAAGTTAGATCCTCAGGTCAGAGTCTTCAAAATGGGTTTCGGGTTCAGAGCTCAGGGATTTTAGGGTTAGGGGTTTGTCGACTCGTAGACTCATGCAAGATTTTGTCGCAAAATGAGCGAAGAGTGGAGTCGCAAGGGGAATGATAGGGACCATTGCCGAGTCATGACATGTCTTCCTTGAGCCCTACACCCTAAACCGCGGTCCGAAATGCAAATCCATTGCAGGTTCTTTCCCCATGAAAGCTCATTCCGAGCCTTAAGCCCGCGACCATCCCAGCCCTCACGGTAATGCTTCCTCATCGCAAATCATACGTTTTCCAACGCACAAGCCTCCATAAACCCGGTAAACTCAATCTTTCGCCATGATTCCCGGACAATAGCCAGGCAGATGCGACTGCGAACGCGTCTTCAGCACTGTCTGAGACTGTTTGTACATGGGGCAAGTTTGTGCTGGTCGCGTGGCTGGACAGTTAAACAAGTTTCGTCTTGCTAGAAAATGCCTGACGAAATAGACCTATTCTGGCGACCCGTGTTTTCGGTGCTTTGGGTCATATGGGGGCCTTCATAAATACGGTTTGGGGGTGTGCTAGAATTGTATACAGTGTACTCATAACCAGCCATTATCAGGAACCCTCAGCGATACTTCGCGAGTCCCTGCCTGGAAGTCGTTCTTGATTTGTATCTAGTCTTGAGCTGCTCTCATCTGCCGTGGCGGCCGCCTTCCTTGTCCAGTGTACATCTCGGCACAGAGCTGACTCCAGTTCCTTAGACTGGGCAGGAGTAGCTTAGTGATTACCCCGGCTTCTACACTATAGACCCAAGGTCTGGCTATGCATGATTCTGATCGTCGCGCTACGTGGCGGGCATGGTCATTCCATCGTGGCGATCAGCAGTTGCTCATGGGAGTACTGGCTCGCGTCTTGGCTCTTTTGGCTTGGGCATAGTGATGCAGGCTTTTGAGAGCCCTGGGCTTTACACTTCAAGCTTTTACAGTAGCGAGCTTCGGAGATTTCGCTTGCTGCGCCGATACGTGAAACTTTTGCCCGGCAGCAGCTCGCATGAATCATTGCCTGGTCAGAATGCCCCGAAACAAGGCCTTCAGTCGTAAGAATATACAAGCATCCTTTCGTGACGATGGTCAGCAAGGCAGAAAAAAAGAAGAAGATGTGGTTAGGGGTTTTGGGTTTAGGGGTTTACATGTTTGAGACTCGAGCCCAGCCGACTCTGTGTGGAAAGCGTGTCCTCCATAGATGTTGTCAAGTCCTTCTGCATGTCAGCGCAATCTTCCAGTCTTGGAATGAGTTGACTGCAAACTAGAAATCCAAAGCCGCTTGACCCAAAGGCCCATGCCCTGACACCCCTGAATTTTGTAAATTCCTAAGCCCCCAAATCCCGAATGCAACTGCTTTCCTAAATATACAGTAGCTACACCCACTGAGAGAACTTCAGGGACTGAGGATAAGTGATGTTGCAGACAACAAGGACCCCAAGCAAAGACCCAACAGTCAGGTAAACCCGAGTCAAAGAACCCGAAATGGTCACCCTTGTTCTAGCTCGTCAGTCCGCTTAGTCCTGTCCTGTTGCATCTACGACAGGTCACCGGCATCGGATTTCTTGTGCTCATCATCTTTGGCGCGCTAGCACAAAGACCAGAGGCATGCCGGTGTCTACATCAATAGGTAGTAGTATTAGGGAGACCCCCTAAAGGGTACCCCTTCGGAACCCTACTTCTGGCTTTCTTAAAAGGGGCCTTATTGAGAGGGTCTATATCCCCAAGGGTCCCCCTAATCCTAACTCCCAATCAAGAAAAACCAACCATTGCGACTTCAGCTCACCCATGTACGTAGAGGTCCCGCTTCTAGTTTTCAACCCTATATCCCTGAAACCTGAAACCCACTCCTCGGCTGTTTGCGTGCAGCCTAAACCGTAGACCTGCAACGAGACAACCTCGCCGTACTTACCCCTGAGTACCTTCGTGTTAGTGTTGCTCTTTGAACGGGCGAAAGACTCTCACGCAGAAGCCTCGCAGCCCTAAACCTAAAGAGACTTCTCTCTGACCACGAAAAAATCCTGAAATCTCAAAGAACTAGCCTCTCCTTCAACCAGCCCTTTAAAGGGCCAGGAGCTAAAACCCCAACCTAAGCTCGCAGAACCTTAAAGCCCAAGAATGATCCCGAAATTCGGCAGGGTAAATCCCACTTTTGGGGACCCCTACACCCACGACGAGGCGTTCGAGCTCCGACTGAAAGAGCCGCGAAACACCGAAGCCGAAACACGTAACATATTGTCACTCGTCATATTTTCTGGATGTAAATGTAGACATTAATGTAAGATCATAAGAAGGGTTCGAAAACCCGAAAGCTCCGAACAGGCTCCTTGGTATTTGTGCCTCGTTGTGGGAGCCCTGAGTGCCGTCGTCGGCATTGGCGGAGCCATCGTCCTGAACCCGATGATGGTAAAGAGGGGCATCGAGGTGCTGTGAGTTTAGGGTCTTTGCATAGATGGCCATGGGGCTTCAAAGTTTTGGTTTGGGTGAGCTAAGGTTTAGGGCTTCAGTCGAGGCTGTGTTGTGATGGCCATCTCTTCCAGGAAAGCACGTGAAGCTTGAGGCTTAGTGGCTTGAAGGCATAGTATAGTGTCGACTCGCGCACCTAAACCTTTCACATGGCCCGCAATCGAGCCTACTGGGCTTTGGAAAGCTGTCACCTTGGTCAAGCCTTCGGTGCTACATTGAACTGTGTGCGGTTTAGGGCTTGGGGTTTCGATGATGGCCGGAACCGCGACAGCTTCCTGTGTGTTGAAGAACGCCAGACCTTGTGATTTTTTATCAAAGTCCAGCTGATCAAGAGTCTTCAACAAAGTGGCAACTATGGCTCGCAGTTTTGTAAGCTTGCAGTCTGCGGGACCTCACCCCACCTGGTTAACTCTTGGCGTCAGCTTCCAGTTAGGAGGTGTCAGTTAGGGCCACTGCTCCCCCCTTCTTGTGCTGGGTCGCCAGGCTACAGTCTCAAGCGCCAAGATATCCGTAAGCTCTAAACCAGAAATTACGAGGCTGAAGCCCCGAAGCTTAGCCGGCAGCCCAAAGTCTGATCGGAAACCCGCAGGTGCCTGCTGCAACTGCCACAGCATCCTTGCCCCTGGGCGGCAGGGTCAGTTTGGGAAGGGTTGCGGGTTTCGAGGCATGTCGGATGCAGTCTTCTAGGGTCCAATCATTTTCCTAGTCCCAGACGTCCAGATACCCGCAGTTCAGAAGCCATGCTTCCCTGACCCAGCATTGCGTTATGATGGGAAAGCAAATGCATCATGCAAACGAGGGGCGCGCGGGTGTTCAGACGACAGATCGGCTTCCCTTTCCGATGCAAAACACAACAAGGCCCTTGAACTATGTACACCAGAAAGCATCGGTACCGCGCACTTCTTTGGCACATGCACCTCCTCACCTCTGCCTTTGCTCATCCTGTTCAGTAGGCCCAGCCACAGCAGAAACCAACCGGACCGCTCCGACATCATTGGGTTTCCGTTTCTATGATAGAGCTGAGTCGCATCTGCCGCGACATGGCAAGGCTAGGAAAACAGACCCATGCGGAAAGCAAAGAGTAGGAATTGGCTCTTCCACCGTCTCTGCAACATATCTCTCCACCCTGGATCCACAACCGCCTTGCCCTTAATTCGCCGAAACTTCGGTTGCATGGTTTCGGCCTTAGCTGGTGAGGATGAGGATGATGGTGAAGATGGACATGCTAGGATCACCAGGATGAGAATGAGGATGACGGAGGTGATGAAGATGATCGTCATCATTGTTTTTGGTGATGGTGGGAGAGGTCAAGTGTTGATGCAGCATTATGACCATGATCGCCTCCTTGTGTCTTCATTGAGCCAGGATGGTGCTGGTCATGAGCTCCTGTAGTACCTCGCTCTTCGTTCTGGGTGGCTTCGTGCCGCTGCTGGCCTTCATAAAGTCCGAGTTGCAGAGCTCAGTGTCGTAGCCAAAGCACACTCAACACACAGGTCCTTCCGGTGAAGATCCCTTCGGTTCGAAATGTAATTGCAACCCCCTCCCCCTCTTCTTTGTTTGTTTTTCTGACACCCTTGCCCTTCAAACTCTAGCGCCACCTAAAGCAGCTCTGCATCTAAACTAGACATAATAATAGAGCTTGTATAACTGCCAACAGGCTTCTTTGGGCTGCTTATTCTGTACATTCAGGCACCCCCAAACCCTAGTCTAATCATTAAGTCCTCTCTGCTTGAGTGGTGTGAGGACATTGGGCTCAAGATTGCTTGAAAGCCTGAGGGGTGGGTTCCGAGTTTTGGAAAGGATCATTCTGTACATATTGGTCGAGTGGTCGTTGCAATCATCATTATCTACAGCTTGTGGCAGAGTCTCGGTGCTTGCGGCACAGCCTCGATGGGGCCAGGATGCAGGTTACAAAGTGCCCGAGTGCGAGGCATTCACCCTGGCTTTCTGCATGTTAGTCCCACAGGTTCGCCGGTGTACATGCCCTGCGGTGTTTACAGGAGATTTTGAAAGGTCTCCGACGAAGATACCGACTGGAAACCCAACCCTCCTAACCTGTGATCGAAACCACAAGACTGAGGCCTGAGCACCCAAGCCGCCAACTAAACCCAACACTATTCAATTCAGCTTGTAAGGTACTCCTTCAGCAAACACGTCGCTGGCTACTTGCTGACTCACTTAAACCTTGACAGCCTGAACCTTGATCTAGAGGGTTTCGGGTAAGAACTGACCTTGTTGTCTGAGGCTTTTGCCGGCAGTCACATTTGGGATCGCATCCTTCCTCGGATCCTTGTGTGGAAAGACGCCGCCTGGCTCAACTCCTGGAGCCTTCCAGCCAACTTTGGATGTCCGCGAGTCGTCGACGCATTCCTTGAGAGCTGGGATGGGGTAGGTTGTAGGGTGTTGTAGGATGAGTCCAGAGGACATAGTGAGAGCCCTTTTTAATCTGGGTCCCGAGACTGCAGGGTGGTGAGTGTTCTCGTCAGCTGGACCGGTCGAACGTCCTTGCTGGTCATCCTGCGGCTCGGCTTCGCTTGACTACCGCTTAGAGTTGAGTTGCGGTAGAAGTTATGATGATGAACTTTGACTTGACGAACACCAAGCACAGTGAGGTAGAAGTTATAAAGATATTTATGTAGGGCAAGTTTGGGGATCTATTGAATCTGAAGCTGTTGTGCGAGGATTCAGGGGATAGGAGGGACGCATATTTGCAAGTAGTTGAGCCCTCAGCCGTCAGAAAACCATCGTAGCCTTTCGCTGAGAGTCCCGGCCGTATGCCCCAATACCAAAATCACTCTTAGGTGACCCTTTGTTCAGATGAACTCCTGAAAACCTCACAAGCTGAATCCTCGATGTCCGTGCATAGCGCATGGCCGTTGTCCGCAGCGCACATGTTGTGGGGTGCAGAAGCTGCAGAAAAGTGCGTCGTATGCACGCTTGTCTGTATACCTGTGCTTACTATACATGGTTGTCCACAGACACCTCTCTGCCTAAGTACACATGATTGTGCATGCGAAAAGTCTGTTTGTTGGTGCATGCGTAGATACTCTCTCTATATATATATATATATGTATATACACATGTATATACATGTATGAGTACATATGCATATACATGTGCATGTACATACACATGAACAAACCCTGCACCCTAGATTGTACATGCATGTCGGATGCCACCTCCCTGCGAACAAGGCCATCCGAGCCCGATTCAAACCTCGATTGCTTCAACCATGCTCGTACATCTCACGAGAGCATCAGACTTGCAGCATCTTAGTTTGTTGAACCCAGCGTTGCAGCGTAGACTGCCCGAAGGCTGGTCCCATGTCACCGGCTTGAACTTTAGCGAACAGAGAGCTTCGCATCGTGATGGTCATCACGACGATGAAGACGATGACAATCATACTCGGAACGCAAAACAGCCCAGGCTTTCAATCTTTATCGCGGTGTCCGGCATCACGGTGCAACTTGACTTGGTTTGTTGCGCTTGAGGGGTCTCCCAGGACTGCTGTGGTTTGTTTGGTTCGAAGAGTTGTGGCACTGGTCCGGTTGCCCACAGCTAAGTTCCTGGCTCTTACAGAGCGTCGAAGTCTTGAGGGGCGGCCTTGTCAGAGATCTCTAGGAACAAGTCTGTTCGCCTACGTGTCTCGTGGCACGGTTAGAGAGAAATGTTACCTAGCCTCTGCATCACTGGAAGATCCGTGGGTATCCCGTGGGTCATGCCCAGAAAAGCATAGGAACGGAACATAGAGAAGTCAGAATGGTTCTTAGTAGAACTTATACGCTACGTAATGAGGTACTAAGCAAAGCACCCCGAAGCAAGCTAGTAAAAGCTGGCCTGCTCATGTTGACGTCTTTCGTACAGGCAGTGCTTCCCCTCCAGCACAGCTTTTTAAAGGCACCGACTGGCCTCAATCCGGCCTTCAACCCTGACACGCCTCATAATCCATAGCCCCTGCAACCCCAAAGCGTAAGTCTTAAACCCACAGAAGCCAAAAGCGAGATTCGTGATCCCAATGACATCCCAGAGCCAAAACATCCATCCAGGTTGTGCCAGGGCGTACTGCAAACCGTTGAAGACTTCCGAAAAGGCGAAAACCCGCTTACTGACTGGCATCTGCCCTGCTAAGTTTTAGGATTCGATAAGAGTCTATAGTATTGAGGCTGTACTGTGAGCAATGACACGACCATTCATAACCAGAAGTTTCTAGAACGGTTCTCTCTAAGGGGTTGTAGGGTTGAGGAACAGGTATTAATTGCTTTCGGGTTGAGAGTCCTGTTCAGCTGGTGTTTAGGACGTTTAGGAATCCTTCTTGGGGGGGTCCTTTTTTGTCTAGGTTCTGTATCGGAGCTACTTTCTTGAAGCACCCATATGCACAGCTTCGAGTGGTACTTCGGTTGAAAATCAAAACACCTGAGCCTAGACGACACAGTTTCGAATTCTACTACAAGTTTGGGTTCCGTGGCTCCTCCAGCTTGAAGGAGCACACCATTTAACGGAGATCTAGTCCCGGTTGAAATTATACAGATCCTTGGACTCTCAGTTGAAACCTAAAGTTTCCAACCCCGACATGGGGATTCGGGGCTTCGTGGCTTCGACTTTGGGACCTTCGGCCTTCGTCTTGGGCTTTGCCAGCTCCAGATGCAGTCGAATTCCGTGGGACCGGTTGGGGACCACTCCTGTACAGCTGCAAGGCGGAAACAAAGCACAGCAGCAGCTGCATCCCCGCTTGAGGTCTTTGATAGCTTGATGAGTGGAGCTTAGCCTGATTGCGAGCCGCAGCAGTGGTTCCGAAGTTAGCCATGTTTCTGCTTTGACTAAGCACATCGAGAACCTGCTCCTGAAATTGAAAAGATACTTTGGGAGGGGTCCTTACCGTTTGGTCTGTCCTGGTCAGAATTGCTTGAAGCCGCTTCTCAAGAGAGGCACACATTCTAAAGGGTTAAGATGTTCATGCCGGATTCGCATTGTAGGGGCTTCGGAATGCGGAAACTTGTACTGCTACTTTGAAGGAGCCTTGCTCTTTGGTATTCTGCAAGGTGACCAGGTGACCATGTGGGGTCAGCGGGTACATATGCTGTTACGTCGTGGTCCCCTCAAACTTGGCAGACTGGAGACACAGAAAAGTCTATGTGGAATAGGAAGTGAAGTCAGTAAAGGCGTGGAATGCCTGCAAGAGACCACGTGAAAAGACTGCGTTTTAAGCGAATTTCGTTAACACACGGCCGAACGTTAAAACGGCAAACCTGCCTTGTGCAAAACTGATCAGCCCGACAGTGTTCAGGCACAGGTACACCGACATGTCCGGTTATCTTCTTCGAATTCTACGCCTAACACAAACCCGACATCAGGGATGTGATCCACACCTCGGGGGATGTGACTCTTTATTCATTCTGACACTGTACAGAAGCTGTGTTCGAGACTCTGCGGCAATACACAAGCTTTGCTGCACAGCGCATCTTTGCTGACTAGATCGCTGCCCTTGAGCTTCAACGCATCCTGAAGAGGAAAGAGTCCTTTCTTGGGAGCCTCCTGTCGGGCCTAGGGCTTCGTGGCTTCAGCTTGCGGATGATGCTGCCGAGGTGTGATGATGATCATGGTCACGATCACGGCTGCGGTGATGGTCATAACGACGACGAACATCACAAGGATGATTGAAATGATAGTGATGATGCTGATGGTGGTGATGATGGCCATGCAAGTTGTCATGGAGATTTTGATGTCGACGATGATGATGATGAGGGGAGGAGCAGGAAGAGCAGGAGGAGGTGTTCGACCATGGTGTGACCACTTGCTGGTAACTGCGAGAATATATATATATATATATATATATATATAATTTTATAGTATATATGGCAGCCGTAATTGATAGTCCCGGGACCGCTACTTTTGCAGATTGCGTCGTCGACAGTTGTTTATCGGTCTGTATCCTGTGGAAAGACATAGACAGCAGGTGTCTGAGGACTGACCGAGAAGTTCTGTGGTAGAGAAGACTGCCCGCAGACGCCAATGAAACCGACCAGGCACACACGCAGAGCCAATATTCTTCCTTATCGGGCCCTTTATCATTAGTCCCTCTCCGAAGCCCGATGAGACACGACTGCCTTCTGCTAAATCACATACGAAGATGGCCATTGGCATAGTTAGATCTGGTTGGCAACTCTTTAGAAACGTCAACCTGGAGATCATCAAGATGCCGACAGAACATCACGCCCTGGTGGCGTGCTTTTTCGTGTGTTCGTGTTTTCACTTGCACTCTCAGATGGCAAGCTCAGCAAGCTCTTCGTTTCCCGCAACATTGTTTTTGCAGCATACAACATTTTACGACGTGTTCTGAATTGACAACAAATTCCACCAAACCATTTGAAAATGTTCGGGCATAACCGAACACCGGTCCGAGAGAGATAAAGTTATGGGACAAACTTTCAAGGACATAAGGGCATGGCCTTAAGGTGTGGCTCTAGGCCTCTAGGCCTTGGAGTATGGAGGCCTGGAGCCCTGGAGCCCTGGGGGGGGGGGGCGCCAAAAAAAAAAGAAAAAAAAAATCTTGTGTGCAAAATCTCTGGCCAATTTTTTTTTTTTTTTTTTTTGGCGCCCGGCCCCCAGGGGCCATCCGGAGGGCGCATGTCTGTAAGCAGAGGATGCCTGGAGCCTTCGGCCTTTGGCACTCCCAATCCAGCGTTGCTCAATCATTTCAAGGTTTCCAGTATGCCACCAATCCTGTCCTGTCCAATGAAACATCCCTCTGTCAAGACTTTACGCTTGCTAGTGTTGTCCACCACCTAGGAAAGCGGCTCCAACACCTGAAAACTGTGACAGAAGTATGATGGGTAATTCATTCTACACAGTAAAAGTATGATGGGAATAAGATCCTTGTACCGGGACCCAAGTTCAGAAGGAGTTATTGGGCCTCGAACCCAAATGCATATGATGGTCCTAACCGTCTCAAGAGATGCTGGGTGGCGAACCCAAAACCTTAGACTGTAGAAGATATTGGACCCTCACCCAGAAACTTAGACAATGCAGTAAAAATTGCAAGCTACAATATCCTTGTTACATTTGAGGCGGAACATATATAGTTACCTGGAAGCCAACCTTGGTATATAGATGTTTGTACCAACATATATATGTATGTATCTATATACACGTCTGTGTATGCATGTTGGTATATGACATGAAGGCATGCATACACACCTGCATATGGATGTGTAAGCTTACATACACACATGCTCATGCTGTTTCCATGTTCATGCTTTTCCCATCCTTATGCACACATACATATATGCTTAATACATATGTACATACACGGGTATATACGTACATACATAAGTATCACGGAAACATGTGCAATATTTCTGAAATAAGCGAGCATATGTGTATGCAACAATGAGGCATTTAGGCAGCCATGCACTGAAAGGAAAATGGAGGGCCGCAGGCTCCTATCCCAAACCCCGAAAGGGCATGGTGGGTACAGGATGCGGAATTTCAAATCTGTGTGGAAGCACGTCCTCCACACCTGTACATATATACATCTACATATACATGTAATATATGTGTGTGTACATATATATATATATATGCATAGATATGCACGTATACAAGTTCATGCACTCTCGAAGCCTATGCAACCATATACAAGTTCGTGAACTTTGGAAGCCCATGCACGCGCACACACATGTATATGCATAAATCTATCTCTATATAAATATGCACATATAGATAGGTTTTTTTTGCGATATACATGCAAGTACCTGGGTATGTAACCGCAAGGCCACGCTGCAGTTGCACACACGATGTAAATTGGAACCTTGCAAGCATATTATGGGTGGATGACACATGTATACATGCATACACACACATATAACTTTGTGTGCATCACGGAAATGGGTAATTACATTGTCTTTGGGATTTACATGGAAGTGGGTGGATGATGGCGAACAACAGGTCTTCAATAGAATAACTGATTAACATGCCCTATTACACCGTAAGCTAATCCTTAAAAGGTGTGGCCCACCCAGCCAGAAATGCAAATCACATTAGGGGATGCTGGGAGACCACCAGAATAGAAACCAGAGTCTGAACACTTTAGTACATATCACGGGCTACACTTATCCACGAAAGATATATAGTGTGTAGCGAACCTGAGTACCGAAAACGATGACGTGTGTCCAGAGCATCCAAACTCTACTGGAAGACATTCGGCTGAAACGCAGTGCCGCGCATGGATGTAATGAGCCAAACCCCCGTAGAAGTTCGATGAGTGGCGGAACCACAACTGGATCCTCAAATCGATGACTGTTTTCCCAAATACAGGCAGACTAGAAGATATTGCACTCTCAATCCAAGGCTTCAATAGTAGATGACGGGGTAGCAAACCTTCAAAGGTGGCAAACCCCTCAGAGCTTTATAAGTGTAGCCACGGCTTCAGATGCGGTTGTATATACACATCGATGACGGTCTGCCTGTCAATATAGTCGCTTTTATGCTGCAGCCCACGCCACAATTTCAATCCCTAGTTGAAGACATGATATATACATTAAGTTACAGGTCAGCATTCGTATGCACATGTAAATATACACATTTCCATAAACACGCATCCATTAAAGCCAGATGCATATGTGGATAGACACCCAGGGGTTGTGATGGATTCTTAATGATTTTGACATGATATGCCAGATCACGCACCTCAACTTCAATGGAGATGCTGGATGGCAAACCTCCTCCCTCTTCCCCAACAAACTCCTACTTCGTGACATGCCCAAGACTCAAAATCAAGGGTGCATGCCTGGATGAGGCAACACAACGCTTAATATTCTGGGTGCATAAACTCGTGTGAAAACCTCTAAATTACCGAGAAATACACGCCACCAGGGCGTTGCACTCTCGATGCCGACTGGACGACTAGACCCACCCTTTGTCCCCAGAACTAACTGAGCTTCACCCCCCATTTTGGGGATTCGCCAGGACAGTGTTAGTGTCGAGGCCCGAGGAGCTTGGGGCTTCCATTCTCACGTTTTCACGTTTGAGCGTTCGTTGTTTCGTTGGATTTGTCGGAAGCGGGGATGGCTTCGATTCTTGCGGAGCTCCTGCCAGATCGGCCGCTTCGAGATCTTGCTTGAGCCATATTG